TTTAACTTGTAATTTTTCTAAAATTAAATGTTAATCTTTACAAATTTTGATTGTTTAGTTTGACGTTAAAAATTTGTCGAGTTGTTTATACTTATTTCAATTAAACAATACCGACATTCGTTAAAGTATTCTTATACAATATTATTTAGTATTCTAAATATTGACATATTTTTTCGTTTAACACTTCTTTTAAATAAAAATGTTATGCAATAATTCTTATTGACTCTTTTTCGCGTTCATTAGCAAACTAATAAACAAATAACAAATAAATCATACTAGTGAATGAATTTAAAAATAATCATAAATTTGACTGCGTTATTGCAATTCAACGAGAAATCATTTTGTTCACATTAATCATTAAAGGACGGGAGGACATAAACACCTGTCTATGAAGACCGTTATTGATTTCATAAATTGGTTTCTTTTCATAATTTATCGAATTCAACTTAAATACCCTTCTGGGTTATCTAAAATGTACAGGGTTACCACGGTGTAATCAGGGACAGGCGGGATTACAGGAACAATAATAATTTTTAATTTCTGTTAACATAGACAGAATTTCAAAGTCACAGTTTTCATGAAGAAATTATATTATTGTATGTCAGTTCATTACTCTTGTATAAGAATATTCTTATTGCCATATTTGTATGTTACAGAAAAATAGGATTTCATATTCAAGTTGATGCCTTTTTCTATTTATCGACTTTATTATTTGATTTTTATAAATTATATATTTATAACATATTATTTAAACAAAATTTAAATTTAACAGGTTTTACTTTTTATAGAATTTAAGTAATAAATAATAATGAATAATCAAAAACTAAAAAATTAAACTATTAAGACACATGATGAACGAAGTACAGATTGTTAGTAGAATATAGTAATATTTTACACGACTCATTCCAGACGTTTGACCCTGTCATCTATTTTTAATGCCACTTTTTATTTATGAGCGCAAGCTTGAGTTTTTCTATCTTCGTTATAAACTTGAAACATTTAAGTATTTCTGAATAGTTGTGGACGTGTAAAAAGTTACGAGCAGACAGTTTTAATCCTTATGAGCTGTAGCCTGTAATAGAACTTAGTGTCCAAATTTTGACAATTAGGATAAGAGAGTAATCCTAAATAATAACTGTTAATTGCCAACTTTAAATTTTCTAATCAAATTCTTTACTAGTGTCTATGCGTAATATTTTATATAATCAATAAATCATATCCTACAAAATTGAAAAAATTTGTAAAAGTATAAACACTTTGATCGCGACGTCACCATCATCGCATACTAAACAACTAACGTAAAATAAAGATTTAATTTATTGGGTAGGTAACCTAACCTAATATTATATTTTAAATCATCTTCACATTAACTTTAGTGAAAACACAGATAGGCCGGATAGTAGAAACATTAATTATCAATGGTAGTAGTATAATATATATATAATATATATATATATATATATATATTTCTAAATTCGTCGGACTTCAGTCGTAGATTATTATTCATATTAAAATTTCAACTAAAAAAGTAAGGCATTGTTTTTTTTAATTTGCAGTTAAAAATCTTAGTCCAATGGTGGACTATCATTGACCGCAGTATCGCTTTACGCTATTGTATTTTATTATATTCTAAAGAATAAATAGTTACAATAAGAATACAATTTCAACAATAGTCAATATTTTACAAAATAATATCTCTCCTTTATTTAATAGACGACGGGTTTTCTCGGTTTCGATCGTTTGAAATATGTTGTTTTAAAATATACATATTAATAACGACTTATAATTTAACTATTGGTACTTATTACTATTTGTTATCTGTCAAAATTATATGTAGGAGAGAGTAGAGAGGGTCAAGCCGGCCCCCGATTTAACCCTATTCTCTCTCCTATGACAGCACCTGTAAGTTTTTTTCTTATTATTTTATTCTTTCTGAAAACAACGTTATAAGTTGGAACGTAAATGTTTGGAGGAGTTTACAGTATACTGTATACATGATTTTCTGTCATTATCATTTATCAACTGCCAACATCAGGTTTTGATTTTTGTCGGTTTGGCTTATCCACTTATACCGAAACCAACAGTATTTTGATGAGCGATGGTGATGTTTGCTATTTGCGAGTGTTCGTGTGTATGTTTGAACACGTGTTGGTGGACAACACATCGGCCGCGTGCGATCCATATTCCGTTGTTGTTAATCAATATTCATACGTGTACCAAGTTAGTAGTTACACTTCAACAATACTAACACCGACAATAAAAACATAAGAGCATAACGGCCGTTTTTTTTTTGTGTCGTATCAGCCTAGTCCCGACGTTGCCGCCGCCCGAACGCACATGTGGAAGTGCCACAGCGATGGTGGGACAGAACAGCTGTGGTGGTGTGGGGGCGGAGAGGGGGGTTAGCTCTGCTACGTGGAATTCGTTGGCCGTCGTTTTGTCTTGTGGCGTACGGTGGATCCTATATCGTCGTCGCTGTTCGCCCGGCCAAGTCTCTAGACCGTCTTAGTGTCGTCGTTGTACGGTGTTCAAGTAGCGCGTCGACTGTTCTATTTCGTTGCTGTCGACTGTTGTTTTTACTGTCCACCATCGTGTTTGTTTCTCTGCTTGAAAATGGCGCCCAAAAAGTACAGTAGATCCAACAACGGTTACGCGGCGCCTGCCGTGGTGTTGCCCGAGAGGGGACCAGGTTTGTTTTGAAGTTTTATAACCCATAAACCGGGATGTAAACGTGATGTCCGTTTAGGGTGTTTAAAATAAATATATCAATTTGCCCCTTGGGACGTTAAAAATCAACCCGTCACCCGTGGTCAGATCATTAAATTTGAGTAAACAAATGATTTTTTAAATGTGTTATATCGTCGAATTAGCTAAATATGTTATAATGTATAAGATCTATGGTTTGTATTTCAAGAAGTCGTCACTGTAACGTATAAAACGTTATAAATTATTCGTGTCCAGTTTTATTTTTTGTTCTGGGTTGGCTTGTATTCCGTCGGCCACGACCGGTTACATACGAACAGCATTGAATATTGTACCGTTAGGTGATCAGTCTCGACCGTTTTCCGTTACCCCGGTTTCGGTTTTTAATATCAATCTGGTTGGTTACAAAGATGAACAGCTGTAACGTGGCGGTCTTCTAGCTCTCTAACTTTCTTTGTCAGTCTCAATACCTCACTAGATGTTGTTTGTTTGTACCACGGAAAATGGATGAATATTTTATAAACAATCAGAATGAATCGGTTTACTTGACATTCGATACTTGCTTTATGATTAATTGCCAATTTATTAGGTATGCTGAAACCTTTATCTTTAATCAGAGTATAACCCTAAACTTGTGGCTCAAGTTCACCCCCCATCATGAGGAAACGATCTTAGCATTTACAAGTTTCTTTTATCTGTTCTGGGCAATTCTGAGACTATTATTTTTATAGCGCACGAGTATAACGTAGTCAAAGCTTAAACAAACCTTTTCTCACCATCATTTTCTACATAACGCTAACACGGATCACGGGTAACCTGAACCCTCTCGGCTTACAAGTTAGGGTGTCCAAGTATAAAATAGAAAAATATGCACGTCAACGTGTATTGCAGTATATTTATTTTACTACATCTTCGTAGTAAAAAACATTTTGTTTACTTAATTTGAAGTTAATTTTATATGTCGACTCCGTTTCTATCTGTGTGTTATTTGCCATGTGTTATCTTTTATATAGCTTGTGTGTTAGCTATCCTCATAAAACCTAATATAAACATTGCTCTGTTATAACCGTAGACTAATTTGTGTGTATTAAGTCTATGAGTATTAAATTTAACGCTAGTTATTTTCTGATTTGCGTTAATATTAGGAAACCCCCGCGGTACTGTAAATCACATCGCCAGTCATTCAACTATTGACTTTACTTGCTGTAACGAGTCAATGGCCTCAAACACCTCTGGATTGTGGCATCCACTCTTTGCGAAAATCCTAGACATGATGTTGGGGAACCCACTTATCCACTTACCCATCTTTACCAGATATTTTATAAACTATTTAGTACCATTACGTTTTGTTGAAAAGTATGAACATTATTTTAGTTTATCGTTTTCGAAATGTCGACGAGCACCATTAATTTTGCTATATAATTACATATTTTAAATTGCCACCTGGCATAATAATTATATACATAATATTAAACCGGATTGTAAAAATGCACGATCGGTATTTACTACTCTTATTAACGTTCACTTCGAAAATAACTTATTAATTATTTATAATTGTGCGAAATATGTAGATTGTATTTTTGTTCGAAAAACACTTGAAAAACAATCAAACATTTTTTATTGTTATCTTTTTACCGCTGTTCTTAAATACCTACTTGACGTATACCAACTCTCTTCCAATGTTTTATATAAATAAAATATAATAGGTTAAAAAAAAAGTTTTTTCTTTAAAGTTGTGCGAAGTTTTAGTCGATTTTTAAAAAATATCGTAATTTTATTAAACAGCCATTCTAGAATCCATTCTAATAAATCGGCAATTTACAGACTATCGGTCCTAAACTTTTATTTCGTTAACTACTCAATCAGTGTTTTGACTTTTGGCTGGGGTCTATCAAGAATTTGCGTCATGTTACGTTTATTATCCTATTCTAATGTTTTTCACGTACAACCAAGCCATTGCTGAGTTTTAATTAAATTTCTTACTTTTCGTTCAATTTAACTCAAAAGAAACCAATAATGCTCCCGGTCCAAACCCGACAGTGTATGAGACCATCTTTTTCGCCAGCGTTCCACAGTATTCGCGCGATCTTAACTTCTAAACTACCTAATGGCGAACGGCGCAAAAGTTTTACAGATTCGTTCGTTATAGTGTAAAAAGTACTTTCGATTAAATAAAAAAAGGTATCTGGTAAAATAGATTTTTTCCTAATACAATTGTGGTTTTATGGTTCCCGTGTGATAGTTAGTTTTAAAACCTAACATGACTAATACTATTCTTGTTTGTTTTTTTTTTTCAGTCGAAGCGTTGGTTTACTGGAGAAATCCTGTATCGTCTGGCGCTGTGTTTGCAACTATACTAACTGTATTGCTGTCATTCTCATACATGTCTTTGTTCAGTGTTGTCGCATATATTGGTCTGGGTGTACAGATTGGAAGCCTTTTAGTACGTCTTTACTACACTGTAATGCAGACAGTTAATAAGGCTTCTCCAGTAAACAATCCACTCCAGTAAGTTTAATGATTTTAATCAATAAAGTTACAATTTTTGTGATAATTTAAATTAATTATAATTTGTTAACTAAATAAACTAGATTTGTCTCGGACTTAGACGTCAGGTTGCCGGAGGAAAAAGCTGAAGAATTGAGCAAGTTAATCATTGTACACCTCAATGCAGTGCTAGTTGAACTCCGTCGCTTATTGATTGTTGAAGATTTGGTAGACTCCGCCAAGTTATTTGGCATCCTATGGGTAATGACTTATGTAGGAGCATGGTTCAACGGTCTCACCTTAATAATTATTGGTAAGATGGCAAATTTGATTTTGTACCTAAAAAATTTAATGTATTTATCATTTTCCCTACCGTTTTAGGATTCCTCGCCTTGTTTACATTGCCAAAGGTGTATGAAAGCAACAAGACTCAAATTGATCAAAACATCGATTTGGTTAGAAGCAAAATTGCTGATCTGACTAACAAGTGAGATAACTTATTATGTTATTTTACTGCTTTACACCCTGCTTATTATAATAAAATTATGTTTTGTAGAGTGAGAGCTGCTATTCCAATTGGCAAAAAAGAGACGGAAGCAAAGAAGAAGGAATAAACACCTATATTGGTTTACGGAACCATCATAATTTGTTGTGGTCGACAATTTCTATTATAGGCCAACATGAATTATTCTTATTTTTTTTTTTTTTTATAAATACATAAAAACATGTCCCAGTAAATTTAATATACAACATTTCTACTATTTTATCAAAAAGTACACATGACGATCCCGTTAGGTTAATTTATTTATTTTCTAACTTATTATAGGGAGGAACGCGTGTAGAATGTTTTTTGTGTCAATATTATTTCACTATACATAATAATATTATATTCATGTAAAGGTTTGTGAGTTATTATATGATATATACCGTGTATAGTCTGGTTTAGCTTCCGGTAAAATGTTATTTTGTCTTCTCCATTTTACACATTTTTACCTTCATCAGCTAATAGCGAAGCAAGCTAGCTTAATGTATCAACGCTAATTGTTTGTGTATACTTATATTTACTCTGTTGTAGGCTTTTAAGTTTTTTCGATTATATACATTTTGTTCTAGTTTTCTATATTATTCTACATACATTTAAGTAGGGTTAAAATGTATTTTATACAATACAGTTTTATTGAGTTTAGCTATTTATATACAATATATAAATATTTTACAAGTATGTAAATCTAAATTTTAAGGCTCATTTAAAGTTTAACCTTACTAGCAAATCAGGATTTATATAAAATAATATAAATATATATATATATATATATATTCTTTTGAATCAAAATCATGTATTCAGTAATTTACTTTTATTACGCTATATAGAAATTATATAAGATTACATTTAAATAAAGATATCTGTATGTTTATTAAACAATATTATACATTTTAACATTAATACAGCGACATTAACTACATAAAGTGTATTTATTTTTATTTCATATTGAATTTGTCCTCTGGTATTTGTTAAACTATTTCATAAAAATATACATGTCGATTCTTTTGTAATTTACCAATCTGTCTTAAGCAGTGCTTACATTTTTACAATAAAATAATATTAGCTTTGAAGAGAAATTGAGAATGTTTGTTTTTTTTTATAATTTGGCCAGAATCGGAAAAATTGTATTACGATTTTGATTTCTTAGGTAATGTGCGGGCGACCATTGAGTTGGCTGCCCAATTTTAGGTAAATGCAACTTTCGAGAGTAACTCGATGTAAATGTCTACACGAAATTCCATTTTTAATTATTTTTAGAACGTCTTACAAAATCTATAAAATTTGACTATTTTAAAAATATACGAGCATAATACTGTAATAATATAATATATCATTTTTGTAACCCGTGTATTTGCGAAATAACTGAGAGTGCCAACTTTAGGGACTACTTAATTCTTGTAAAACAACATTAGACTAGCATTTAATATTTATAACCATAATAGCCTAATTAAACTATAATTGAGCTGTATTTTTGAATTCTGAATTGAAGTTTTCAACGAGGTTTTTATATTTTATGGTTTGTTTTGGATTAATTATGTATTTCTAATTTAGATATTTTTACTATTTCATTTCATTTTCTCTTAAATATAAAATTTCATTCGTCTAAATTAAAGAAACAGAAAATGTTTCAATCACTTGTAGAGGATTAGCAGGGTTTCGGAATAAGTGTTCAAATGTATTTACTTCACTCCTACTTTCTTAACAACACCTCTCTTTGTATAATGTATTGCTCGACACTTGGCCAGTTTCTGAATGAAACATGAATTTCCAGAATAAAGCATAAAACAGACTTGGCCACAATATAGACTTTGATAGGCTGACTTTTTTTGGGAGGAGGTCTGGAACTTGGCCCTTTTTCACTGTTCGGTTTTTGTTTTTGAGATATCATTCCTTTTTGCGAGGCATTAGTGGGAGCATTTCGAACATAGAGCCGCGCGTTAGATTTTTCTCTAATACAATTTTTCTTAGAAAAGCGGCACTGGCTATTATTTTTTATACTTAGAACGAACGAACGAATTCTCCGGCGAAAAAAACACGGATATAGAGTATACAGACTGAATTAAATAATGATATTATTACGATTATTAAAATATTCTGTATTTGATAACCGAAAAAAAAAATAAGAAAACAATATATTTGATAAGTATTTACTTACAAACAATTGCTTATTGCCATATTATTGTAACGCTGAAAGAGAACGCGTTTGTTTCGACGGCGCGGGAATCTGAGCGTCACACACATCGTGCATTTAGAACTACACTCCCTAAAGCGTCATTAATTTTGAGTGAGTCGGTAACAAAAATTAAAACTTTGAAATTCTCCCCTTTTGAAATGGATTAATATTAAGGGCTCAATGTTTTACATTAACCTAAGCTACTCGAACTTAATCTATGTTTCAAATTTCAAAAGTTTATCTTAAACAACAAGATATCTCTGTTAAAATGTGGGTTAGAAAAACTAGATGAATTGGTTCGTGTAGATACACTGGTTTTGCTGGAACTTGGCCTAGCGCAATGCCGTGCGCTCAGATAACTTTTTTTAGAATTTTATAACTAGCTGTTGTACCCGGTTTCGTACGGGTAGTAAAATGATATAATTCTCCCCCATAACACATCGGCGGTTTAAGGGGAGGTCGCCGGCTCGTTGCGGGCGTTAGAGAGCGAAAAGATGACCCTTTAGATCTCCTCCCGTGCTCCTAACCTAACCGTTCTCCCGAAAAAAAAATCGCCCACTTATCATGGTATGTGAAACAACAGGTTTGGCGCCTCTGAATTTTAATTTATACTTACTCGTATTTATTTAATTCTTAAATAATAATCGTTTGTTACTCGTTTGCTTACAATTATAATGATAGTGTAAATAAAAAAATTAAAAATTGAGAGCTTAGCGCCAATAATCATGAAATTAGTTAATAGTTTTGGATGGTTTTGTCGAGTCATGCGGGTACTTGGGACGTGTTCCATACAACGGGACAGAAACTGTGCACATATGATGTGTCATAGTACTCTACGTGGTCGGCTTCTACATAGTAACAATAGTCGGTCACCACACCGTTCTTGCATACCACACGTTCGTTCAACGGCCGTACGTCTTTAGTGGCGTACCGAAACACCTTGACGGTCTTGTCCATTATCCATCTGCCGCTCTTCGTACCAAACGGCTTTTTTGCATCAATTATGAAGTCCTTGGTACACAACATTGCGTTGTAAATGAAATCGTGGCATGCGATCGGCGAACTGATTTCTTGATGGTCGTACTCAACTGCCGTGCCTGAAGCCCGGTACACGTGGCCGTGGACGGCCACTACACCGGCGTCCAGCACGGTGCCACCGAACTGCCACAACAACACCAGCTCGACGACAAACTTGGCCAGGGCAGTGCGCCCGTCCAGATTCAACCCCCGAAACGGCGAGCAGTCCAGACACTCTTCTAGATCCACGTTCACCACGTTTAGCCGATTGCCGTACGTCGCCGACAGTCCTTCCAAGCTGGCCAATAGTTCTACCTACATCGTACATAGTAAGTCAATTACATTATATTTACCGATAAACGACATGTTTAATATTTAAATATACTAATGGCGTCCTAATATTTGGATAAAAGATTTAGTGCCCCCTCCCCTATTGAACTTTTGAATTATTAATGTGTTGTATCTAGACGAAAAGCTAAGCATTTCCCAACCGTTAAGATATAAACTAACGTAGGATTTAATTTTTATAATTTGTAGTTGTTTGTTTATAGATAACAATTTGTTCAGTTTGGTTTGCACAAAATAGTTTATTGGTTAATATTTATCTAATAAAAAAGAGCCTTGATCCTCTCTGGCGATAGACTAACAACTGTCTAGGGTATAAAATCGTTAAGAAACATCATCATTGAAGAAAACAAAAAATGAGTCATTCAAATTAAAGGGTTTTTGTTTTGTTTTTCTTAAGTTAGGCACACAATTTTAGCATTATGTTTTCGTCCTTAATAAAAGTAAGATAACATTTAATTTGAAAATAAATTCCTGTATATGTATACCAAAATATAAAATGGTTACTATAAAGGTAAAATCAGTACAGAACAAAAATTATCATAGTATAAGCATTGATTAACTATACATAAATAGCCCACGCCGTGTTGAACAACTTCCCGTTCACAAGTGGGAGCCAGCAATGCATTAGCGTGATTTCCAAATTTTAAATATTTGCATAGTTTATCAATGGTATGTATAAGATAGCACAGTTAGAAGATGCAAGGGGGATCAAAGGAATAAAGTCGTAGCGATGAAGTTCAAGCATAGTACAACGGTGAACGGTAGTTATCCAAAGATTCATTCCCCCCACTTCTTGCCTGAATAGTCCTTTTATACATACTATATATACTATTGCAATTAAAATGCATACTGTCACCGTTAAAATAGTATAGTTGTTTTAATGCGTGAACACTGACCGATTTCTGTTTTTGGTGGTCAGTCTTGGTGCCGTTTACCAAAAACACGTTGACACGTCCATTGTCGCCGACAGCGCTCACCGCGGACTCCAGTGAGCACATGGACATCCATGACGGCCACGAGTCACTTATGAACACGTAGTGCACGTCGGTCACGCCCAAATCGAGCGCAATCAGCTTGGTCGCTCGGCGGTCTGGTTCTTCAGCGTACAACTTTTTGGAATTGACTAGGGACGTGGCGTCCACCACATCGGCGGGCGCCGATCTTCTATGGAAAGACCTCAAGTGCGAGTCGTTGTTGTGGTGCCGAAACGAACTATTGCACCTGACCACTAGATACGTGGCCACGAACAACAGCGCTATCACCATGATGGTGGATACCACATAAAAGTAGATGGACTTAATCTGTCCCGTTATGTCGTCCATCGCCTTACTGACGCCCGCGTGCAAGGTGTTCGCGTAGTCCTCTTTGGTCGCCCTGTCCAAATGTACGCATTTTGGACATACGCTCACTATTTGCCCGCGACTTATCTTCATCTATACAAATAAAACGAAATAATCATTATAGCTGTTTTTAATGACAGTGTACCAAACGCTTAAACGATGGCTATACAAACCTACGGACACAGCACCCCCGACAATGCACTCCGCGCTCACCTAATTAATCAGTTGACGTTACCATCGCGGACCGCCAATACCCTCGACCTTGCGCCCTATATTTTTGCCGTTTTGCTACAGCCGTCCATCAGATTGTCTTTTGTGTGCGTCCGTTTCAACTCCACTCTCACCTGAAACAGACAACGATGCTACAGAAGAAGTATAAAGCTCGCTCGCTTCTAACATTTCTCTTATGACTTCCTCCAAAATCATTATCCCCTGGAGAAACACTGTATTCTATATTTCCCCCGGTTTCAATTTGAATACCTTTGAAGTTGCTAAGAAATTATGGACCTACGGCTTACAAATCTAGGGAGCTGCAAAAATATAAAAACTTAATAAAATACAAACTGTCCGAAACAAAACGTTTTGTCCGATCACTAATTATCCTTAGTATGTATCAAACATAACTCTCTGCAATAACTTCAACATGAAAACAGTTCCTGGATGCTTTATACAGTCATATAACAGATATCACAACTCACTATTCAGTCATCCAAACACTCTGGCTAAAAACCTAGCATGACATGCTAAGAAACCCTCCTAAAAGATTAAAACGTAAGTGGTGCCGAGACTTATTACAACAGTAACAAAAAAAAAATCCAGTTGAGTGTCGTCGGCAGGCGGTTTCTTACTCAATTCAAACATGCTATTTTGTAAACAGAACTATCAATTATACTCATTATACTACATTGTATAGATTGTATATAACAAATAAATAATGAAAATAATAATAATAATAATTTATTATTTAATAACCTCACAGATTTAATCCCTTTCATTTTCTACTTCTTTCAAACTGTTATGAAAACTACTCATCAAAGAAAGTACAAAAAGTAAACATGGTTCCCCAGTTCAATAGTGCTTTAGGTGTTTCATCTAGCGTTTGATTTGCAGAGAACACTAGCAAAATTCTGTTCATTTCTGGAAATAACTTTCTAATAGATAATAATATAAGTACTTATATCATGGTTGTCAATAGTTGCACAGTCATATAACATATTTTATTATAGCACTATACTATTTCTGAACACCACAACAGTATAACGCTTTAAAATCATTGTTTTACCAAACGTCCTAGTGAATGTGCGCACGTATTATCAAAATATCAAATTTAAAAGTTGCTAATGCTGCTTTCATTTTAATGTACAATCAGAGATGGACAATTTTTATTTAAGTTAAAAGTTAACTCGATGACTAAACATTTTAGTCATTACATAATCATGATTAATTTAATCATACAATAACAAATACAATTAATCATGAATACAAATTTCAACTTTGAAGTACGATTAAATTAGTCATGATTGAAATATATAGTCATGGGTAATAGTTAAATTAATCATGATTAAAAAATTTAACGCGAATAATAGTTAAATTAGTCATGATTGAAAAAGTTAATCATGAGCAAAAGTTGAATAAATCATGATTGAAAAAATTAATCATGACCAAAACTAAAAAGTTAACTTTTTTGTTGGTACACGCGAATAAAGCTATTAGAGATTTAAGAGATACACTTTTTCACAATTTAATATTATTATGTATGATTTTAAACTATGAGTGTTTTTTTTTTGTTTCCCCTAAAACTAATTGATTAATATAAATTAATTAAATGATCATTGATCAAACGAGTATTAAGTAAAAAACAAATCATTAATTACGAATAACAATGATTCAAAATATTAATCTTGAACAATAGTTAAATTAGTCACGAGTAAATGAAATTAATCACGTATAATAGTTAATTTAGTCAGTATTTGTATAGTTATTTGTGTTTATACGAATAATCAACTTTTATTCGAAAAACTATTTAAATAAAATATTAACTAATAGTATTAAATTAAATTAACAGTATTATTAACAAAAATAAAAACCGAAGAAAACATAGAAGATGATGGCAAACAGCTTTGTATAAGAGACTTGTATAATGGATCAGATTTACTGAACACTCACCGGGAACAAGAAATCAGTGAACAGTTCAGGAACTTCATACGCATGTCATCAACAGACTTCGGGTGTTTAATAACTTTAGTTGGTTCTAAAATTTCCAAACAAAACACCAGATTCCATATAATTCAATAAAAACCGACAAGCAGTGGAGCGACCACGTCGCGAACCGAGCACGCCCGAATAATACAGTGGCGATAATAATGGCATACACATGCGAGCATTTGGACATTGGTAGGCAATAGGCATTACAGTTACATTACAACGTTACATTACGCCATAAATTATTTTTAAGTAAAACAGAATCGAATTTTTATAAATAATTATTTAGAAATATAAAAATAAACATATCGTGTAAAAATAAAAGACGTTTTGATTTATTTTTTTGAAAGACGCCCGACAACCGAGGACATCCTTAAAAAGAAGAAAAACCCTTGACCCTCGTAAAAGAGAAGTCTAGTCACTATAAGTATATAATACTCTCCCACGATAAGTATAATAAAACAATGACTTCATATATAATAACAGCCTACGATGACCATAAATACTAGTTTATTTAGAGCAAATTACTCCTGTTAAAGGATTATTGACTTTAAATTAGACAATCGATATTATAGATAATAGACATTCGAGTGTACATACTACATACTGGGACTTACGTTGTTAAGCAGTGTGTAACATATCCCAAATGATAATTTCCCGACCGAAAACGTGCACTAGTAATGATAAGACCAGATAGTAGCAAACAAGCGGAAACGACGAACAAATAGCAATTTTCAAAAAACAAAAATAACAATAATAGAGTTTGTTTGTTAAACCGCATTCGAATACTGACTGAGAATAACACCTATGCCAACACCCGACTCGTGAGTAAACAATACTGTTGTCAGTTGCAGTTGTCGCGTTCAAATGTTTATAAACCGCACGTATGTTTTGTAGAAAACTAACACTTTACCGACAAAAAAAACAATAACCGGCTTGCAAAAATATGTTGTGACTTATGGTTGTACACAGTACATATTATACTTTTTATTATTGATAGTTATTATTTTCCATTATCATCATTTGTATTGCCATTATTAGTTACTTTGGTTTTATGACCATTTCATGTTATACCCAAGTCCCAACAAAATAAATATTCGTCTATTTTAATCTATATTGTAGGATTATCTTAAATATTTATTTATTTGTTTTTTTTTAGATAACTACGATAACTTAGTAATCCGATAAATAGTTAGGATTTCTTTAAAATTGGGGGGGGCACAGGGTTGCAAAATAAAAAAAATCTGACCAATACTAATAGTTCTCAAATATTATGTACCCCAAAAAATGACGAATAGTGAGATTTAGTGGTCACAAAACCCAAATGTGTTATCAGTTTTAAAATTCACCTCTTATTGAGGGGATTAAGATGTTTTATTTTTTATTTGGTATAAGTGTACTTTACCGGGCACCTTTTTTTTCGATTTTTTTTTTTTTAATCGATAGTACGTTTAATGCTGATGAAATTTTGCTAATGAATTTTTTGCCGGACGAACTTAGTTTCGGAGTTACAGACGTTCGGCAAAAAATTCATTAGCATTAAACGTACTATCGATTAAAAGAAAAAAAAATCGAAAAAAAGGGTGCCCGGTAAAGTACATTTGTTCCAATTACTTTGGAAAACGATCCCATACAAAATGAATTGCTATGTTTTTTTTTCACCAATAAAATAAATTATATTGTGTATGTCTCTTATTGTAATTTTAGGTAAATACATAATGGCTAGTAGATGAATGTAAAATTTAAATTTAACAAAATAACGTGTGGTTATTACTTATTAGATATTGCCCCCGCGTCTTGCATAATCAATGTATATGTCGTGCCCCGCCGTTAAGTTAAAATATCAATGCTCGTTTTACTAACGAAACCAATGAAACGTGAACAAAGATAAGGTTATTTTTTAAACAAATTACAATACTATCTATCATTTCATTTATTTACTAGTATAAATTATAGAAACAATTTTGTAGTACATTTTATTTTTATTGTAATAAATTATAACATAGGTTCACCAAGTTCCATTTCCAAACATCTTACACATCAATTTATTTTTAAAATAATAGTAGTGAAATAAACAGGTTTTTGAAATGCAATTTTTGGAAATTTTACAAACAAAAAATCTTTACCAAAATAATATTTTCAAAAAACTATGGCTAGCTTTTTTCAATTTTGGAACATTGTGGGGGAAAGTTCTCGGTTCATATTTTCTCGATGTGATCGTATTCTTACTCATTAAACTTCAATGCAAAGCAAAGAAGAAATAAAATTGTTTTTGTATTCTTAATTTGCATTTAGTATCTATTTGTATTTGTATCGATTTGTTCATTAAATTTAATCTAGTCTTGTAAAAAGCAACAAATTCAACTAATATTGTATTATAGTAGGTAATTACTAATTATTTAATACAATTTGTATAATATAAGACTTAAGATGAAACATGATTGTATATTTTATGTTAAAGTAAAGCATTATGGACTACACGTTATCTTATAATTACATTATTAATTACAATTTTATCAGTGTAAACGTATCAATAATATGCCAATTTCAAAAGTTCAAAGTTATGCAACGTGTAACGTAAATAAACATAACTGATTAAAAACAAAACCATTTTCGATTGAATCAAATTAATTATATTATATTGTTTAGGCTTAGTCTTGTTGTTTTTTCCGTATTTATCTGTAAAAATTTAAATGTGAAAAATGTTCTATGCGCGAGTCATATTAATATTACACAATGGATTCCAAATATTATATTGACAGTACAAACATTATTACTATGTTTTTAGCTTCGGAAACTACATTTATTTTTTTACCAGTTGGTTTTGGGTAGTGTAAACACGTACAATCATCATCAGCTTCTAAAGGCCAAGCCTTGTTGTTGTAGCCAATCATGTCTGTCACATGCCCTCCTCTTAAGACTTTGGTAAGAGGTACAACCCATCCAACGGAAGATTTCTTCAAAAAAGGACTTACTCGGTCTTCCTCTAGTTCTTTTACCAGCTATTTTTCCTTCTATAATGATGGCGATGAACTCATTGTGTCTTAGTAGATGACCAATTAGCTTTATTTTTCTTTTCATTACTGTGTTCATCACTGTTCTTTCTTCATTGACCTCGTTCAGCACTGCTTCATTCGTCTTATGTTCTATCCAGCTTGTTCCTGTCATTTTCTTCCACATCCACATCTCCGTCGCCTCCAGCCTATCTTTTTCATATTTTCCTATCGTCCACTATTCACAACCATATAGTAATATACTCCAAATGTATGTTTTTACGAATTTCTTTCTTGAACTTATACTCAGATGTTTATTAGCAAGAAGTGTCCGTTTTTTCTCGAAAGCTTGTTTTGCTAATGTAATTCGTCTTCTTATTTCTTTCGTAGCTTTATTGTCATCTGTTATCAAGCTTCCTAAATAACAGAATTCATTTACTTGTTGTAACTGCTCATTGTTGAGCGTTATATTTATATTTGTTATAACTTTACTTATAACCATAACTTTTGTTTTTTTGGAGTTAATTTTTAGTTTGTACTTGTCTAGAGACGAGTCAAGTATATGAAGCATTAAATTCAACTCTTCCTCGCTGTCAGCTAGAAGAGCTATGTCATCTGCAAAGCGGATGGAGTGAAACCGTTTCCCATTTATCGATATTCCTCTAGAGTGGTCTTTCATTTCATCTATTGCATGTTCAATAAATAAATTAAACAAATATGGAGATAAAGGGCAACCTTGCCTTACTCCTTGACGAATTTTCGCTTCTCTCCTGCTTTCATTTACTTCTATTTCAGTGGTTTGACCCTTATACAAGTTCAATATTAAGCGCCTGTCTTACACGTACAATACGGATATGGAATGATGGCCACCGTTGAAAATCTCGGGTGGTCACCCATCCGGGATCAAGAAGCGACATACACAGTTAAATATCGGGTGACAACTGACAAGTGACATCCAATACCACTGCGCACACATAAGATTATTGTTATCTGGTATACATTTTGGGAATTTAGAAAATAACAGTTATTCAAAATGTTTTATTAATCAGAAAAATGGTAAATTATATCTTTATAACTGTATGCCCTCAAAATAACTGTGTTATTGTAAGTGTTTTACATGGCGTAAACGATGCCACCTTGTTAAGAACTGAAAAAACGCAAAAGTCAACAAAAGTTTTAATCCTTACAACTTTGATAATAGCTTGATTTTTTAAAAAAAAGGTTAACTTGTATTTAATTTTAACCAAATTTAATAATTCTGATCTCATTAAAAAATTGTGATGTTCAATTTTATTAAACTAATTGTGTTACTACATTATGGTAAGTATTTTAATTTGATAAACATTTTTACCACTTAAACATTCCTAAACTATTTTCTAAATTTAAAATAAACAGATTGAATAGTTTTTATTGATAAATATATTTAAATATATTAATTTGTATTTCCTAATGACAATATCCCCATAAGGCTAACTAGGGGGAGTGAGGGATTTTCGCAAAATACATTTCTAATAAAAACTTTTATTTTAACTTCTTCGTGAAAACTTTTAAACAAAAGTTCCATACAACATTTTGTTGACGACCAAGCAGGTCTTATCTCGGGTTTTTTTGGACTTCGAGAACATTCAATCACGTCTAATTAAAGCTGAGCGGCCGTGTCGCTTCTATTGATGATATATTATAACTAATGGTTATGCATCAACTTTTTAAACATTTATTACATTTATGTGTTAAATTGATATCAACGGAAAATGTTAACATTGATAATTTAAATATGCACACAACCTTGCTACGAGATGATTAAATTTGGCTAAAAATAAATATTAATTAGGATATTTGTTATCACTTTTTGGCAACGCTAATTAAAACCAAGCATTACCTATTCACTATTAACTACTTGTAGAGATAACCTTTTTTTTATAATTGTATTAATAATGTATGTCATAATAGATTATGGTAAATTAATAGTGTAATTATTATTTTTTAATAAAAATTAATTAATAATTACTTAAAAAAAATTACGACCACCCATAGCTAATATTTCATAATATCTAGCAATTTATTAAAATCTGAAGTTCTAACTTCAAATTTGTACCAACCACATACCTGCTTATAAGTTTTGATGTTTTTATAAATTTAGTACTTAGGTAAAAAATCACCCCCCGAGCTTTTTTATTTATAGATATTATTAATAATTAATTTATTAAACAGACAAATATAAATATTAAATTATTATCGCAGATGATGACACACCACCTGTATTTTGGCCGCAATTTCATTGTGCTGAGGACAAAGTGTTGTACTCGTAGTAGAATTTCATAATTTGTACAGTACACAGAGAAGAACTTTACTTATGCCTTAATGATTTATTTAATTTTTTGATCACAAACACAATCTAAGTCATTCGTTCGTAAAGATTTTGTTTTGTTTCTTCATTTTTAAGTTAGTGAGACTGAGTATTACTAAAAAAAAACTTTACGACACAGATAACGTTCTCTTCTCTTCTATGTGTTGTGAACTTTTGGTCATTTTACTGTGAATATTGACCGTTTGTCTTTTGCAAAGCAGTTTTGATGGAAAAAAATTGTAATTTATCCTATAGAAATGTGATAGTGATAGTCTAGAGACTCTAACTACAACCCCGAATAGTTGGGGATTTTTGTAAATATCATTACCTAATTGGTACTGTGTTAATCGTTAAAATTTAGTGCTATAACTGTGGAATTTCACCGTCTTAAAACAGCAATTAACGAGCTGCGTCCACCGGTTCCTCGTGAAACGGTCATGCGTTCACCTTTGTCCTCACATGAGCGTCCGCATGACCAAGCTTTAAAAACAAAATAAACCCACGGGACGCTGCTGCTGTTGTAAAAAACATGTGTCTACATTCTAAAATTAGATTGCCCATTTAGATATTATATATTATGCCAACATCGGCGGCACCGAAACGATAACACTGTGATATGTAGTGTATTTATGAGAATAACAGCCGTAATTTATCTTTTAAAAGTATAAACCCAACACGACTTTGATACGAAAAGCGATTAGCCGTGTTTTAATGAGTTCGGCTTATCTAAACTAGGGTACACTCGGATAGGACGCCGGTCAGCGGCCGATGCCCGTTGTAAAACCGGTCGCCGACTGCAGTGCTCTACCAGCTATCAAGTCGGGCGAGTCTTAGACGTTGTGATTAAAATTCGCTACAACTCACTAAATTAATTATCACAAACAAAACTTATTCGTTCTTTTTTTTTTACAAGTTAGCGTTTAAATAACACTGCATCATGGTGGTGAACAACAAGCCCAAAGTGGAGAAACGCAAACAAATCAGCGTCAAATCCATCGCTGACGTGGAGGACGTGGTGGCCATGAAAAAGACTTTCAACCGACACCTTCACTTCACCCTGGTCAAAGACAGAAACGTGGCCACCGTTAGGGATTACTACTACGCACTGGCGCATTCCGTCAGGGATAGTCTGGTCTCACGATGGATCAGAACGCAACAACACCAATACGCGATAAACCCAAAAGTAAGTTTCCCAAAATATCAATTACAATTTTTTTTTGATCGTCTGGTGTATTACTTTTTGATAAACTGCGTGACCAATATAACATTGAGTAAACTATGTAAATTAGACAAAAGTAATGCGTGCTCATTCACACCTACCTTATAAATATATACTATCAAACTTGAAGATTTTTATAATAACTTTTTTCACGAATAAAAACATTTTTGTTCAAAAGTAAAAATAATTATTCATGAATTAAATGCTTGAAAATTGTTTTTATATTTGAATAAAGATGTATTGAATAATGCCCATCTTTGCCCATTAAATCTTGGGCAGGATAAAATTTCCTACTTGGTTCACTTCGATAAAGCATTGTGCAAACTTCATCCTAACAGTAGTGCTAGTAACATTAAAATATTAAATTTTGGTAATTTTAACAATCTAGTTAGTAATCGCTCAGGTAAAAAGTATACTACAGTCTATCCTTTTTCCCGTCCTAAATGTTTTACTTTAATAACTTAATAAGTAATTATTAAAAACTGCTTATCGACTAGTCGAAGTTTTTAGCAAATTATTAGTTTAAAACGTTAATACAGTCTTTTTTTATTATGTTTAAATGTCCCTTGTGATTTTAGCACTTAAGAAATGGGGTTTTATTTTTGTAAATTCGAAATTTGGCAAACTATTAACTGTAAAAGTATAAAAAAATTATAATTTTAAAAGTTCTAATATATTCTAAAATATTGTCTGGGTATACTGTACAGTTAAAAACTAATGAATGTACAATGGAATTTTATTGGGCTTAATACTTATAAACATTTAAAATTTAAATAGTTCAACATAGATATTTGAGTTATTCATATAAATTATATTTTATGGTTTTGGTTATTTATTTTTGAAATAGTGGTTGGATCTTTCGGATGACATAAAAATTTATTATACTCAAATTTTATGACCTGTCTATCTTTACAAATTTGAATTTTTTTTATCTATTAAATAATAAAATTATTTTTTTAAATAAATGTTATAAACATAGGTGTATAATATATGTACGTTTTGTAACTGTAGTTTTATAATTAAACTTAATTAATTAAAATAAAATAGTATTATTGTAAAAAATAAATTTAAAATGTTAACAATTTTATCTGGTTCTTCGAAGAGCCAAATAAATCGCATTTTTAATAAAATGTAGGTATATACCATTTTGTTTCGTTTCCCTTTATCATTAGCTGCTTCAAAACTTTAAAGTGTAAATTTATGTACTTACTGCAATGCCAAAAAAAAAATTCAACAAATATTGAATTAGTTTACGTTATTCAGCTCTGACCTATGCAAACTATACTACGGTCTATACCCATAACGTTTCTTATGAAATTGTACTAAAACCTACCATATGTAATACTACTCTGTGTAGTTTACTTATTTGGCATATTTTAAAAAGGCTAGAATTGGAGATAAGTATACCGTCTGTTAAATATTTTGTCACGTAAAAGGTATATGCGTTTACAATGTAAACTTGACATGCACTATCTTGTGACATATTTTTCGATCGCCATAAAAATATGCCATAAATTTACCGACTAGATATTATAATAGGAAAACATTTATTTTTATTTAAAAGTTACATTATAGTTATTATATTTAAGAATTTAATAAATCTGTTAACTTAAAAGTAAGTGATCAAATCAAGAATATTATTATGTAATGAAGAAAAAAATGATGTTTAAAAAAACAATAATCATTAAGGCCTCTTAATAATGAATATTTTTGAAAAATTGTTAATATTCAAAAAAATAAGTCTTTTTCTATTGATTATTGTGGTCTATTGCCATAATATATTCCTTTATTAAGTTAAAAATGTCTACTGTTTCAAGGTTAATAACTTTTGACCTTGATGAAAGAAGTTTTATATTTAAACATGGATATCTGGCAACGGTTTAGTTGAAAATACACTATCGCTGTATCACACAAATATTATTACATATTTTCTGGATGTTGCCACATTGACATAGCACAACATAATTTTATACCTATTTTGCACAGATTTTTGGTAATATATCAACAAATTATGGAGCGTATTATTTTTTTAATAGATTTTACTTCCAGATATTTTTTGAAAACTACATTTTTATACAATTTCATTGTGACGAGTAAGAAAATAAACCTCATTGATAATAAATTATATATACACCTATATATATATAATATATTCGCAAAGTTTTTTCTATGTAATGAATTTTCCTTTATTATATTAATACAATTGTTATCGTCAATATGTTGGTTTTACCATTAATTAATTTTATTTTACACCATAATAATAATCATAATGATGTTAAATCAATTTCCCGATTGATGAAAAAAAAAATTCCCGGTTCTATTTCTATAATATTTAATAACAATTGGGGCCAGTGCAAACATAATATATAATTATTCAATGATGCAAAACATTTATGAATAAATAATATGTATTTATACTTAAAAATAAATTTTATTTAGAAGACTTTTTAATTTATCGGAAAATCTATTCAACGTAAGACACTCATTTTCTCGCAATATAATTACAGTTATGTTGTTTTACTTATTAAACGAATTTTTATTTATGCTATTGTGTAATATTATAAAAATATCAAATATTTACCTTTTCTAGTGCTTTTTACCAGTGCTATCAACTTTTAAAACTTAAATGAGAATGTATTCGAGAAAAAAAAACTATAAAAATTGCAATTATTTTTCAAGAAAATGAGTGTTTTTCTTTAATAATTGGATAACCCTGTATTTTTAGAAATTGTTTTTAATATAGACATAAATCAAAAAAATGTATCTAATATAGTACTTAATAATAATTTTACGTATTTAAAATTAAATATTTGTTATATTATATTATTAAATATTAATATTTTTTTATTAAATATTAATTTGTTTTTATTAAATATTAATTTGTTTTTATTAAAAAAATAATTCAGATTTTTATGGTACTAAATAGTGACTTAAAATTGTATTTAATTATTTTAGGAACTTAAATCAACTGAAAATATACTGCTTAAAAGAAAACGAGTTTTGAATGATTATTCGACAAAATACAAGTATAAATTAAAAAGCACATAGGTTTTTCCGAGCACATTTTTCACCGATTATTTAAACTATTAAATACTTAAATACCTACATAGAAAACCCATGAGGTTTTAGCGAGGCCCAATGCAAGCTAGAGTGAATTTCTAATTTTTTAGTCAGTTTTTGCGCGAAACTGTTTAAAAATAGATACATTATGCGCGGCTGCATTTATCGCATAACACTACTACTATATTAAGATACCTATAATGCTCATAGTATGTTTAGAATCAACAATATTCAATAAACACAAAAGCTAATTTAAAATAATTTTCTATTTCTCTATCAATACATATATTTATAAATTTTACCCACCTGGGTGGGTAAGCTAATGTAGGAATCCCGAAACAATTGTAACCAACGTTGTTATAATTTAATATAAACAATTCATTTACTTTGTGATAATAATAACAAGTAATTCAAGGGGTGCAGAACCCCACAAAATCTTCCGATGAACAATTGTATTTTTTAACTACTCATTTAAAAAAAAATCATATTTTTTAATAATGGTTCAAGTGGGCAATGGCTCTAAAATGTATAATAACTAATCGACTAATCATCATCGTACTCATAGAGGACTTTCGGTATTTTGTTTATGGTAATTGCGCTATAATATTCCTATAGTCGATGCGATTATAATAGTACTGTACATGATGAACACACCATGTTTGTGAATCGTGGCCAACAGGCCATTAACGTGGTTGTGTGTGCATCTAAAAATACTTGCGGCGCATAGACAATAATATTATTACTAAGTCGTTCGGTGAAGGGAAAATAAAAATGTGTCAAAACTCAAACGCTGATGGTAATATAATAGTCATCTAGAAAGTCTTATAATATCAGAGCAAACTCTAAACGCTGCGGTAAAATTGGTTTATAGGGTCAAATTTAGGGTATTTTTTTTTTTAATTCTTTGAATTTTAGTTATGTACACTGTACATGTTTTGTCGACACTGTCTGCTGCAAATTGCCCATGAAATATTTTTGTCACTTCTTTACCTCGAGATCTGCAGTCGACTGCCGCCCAGTGCTGCTAGTCCCGCATTGTCGTCCGTGCAATCGTTATATACACCGTATGTTATTCTTGACCGTCGACCAACAGTAAAATACAGTTTATTTATTGTCAACCATGTCGAATATCGATCAGCTCCGGAAGCAAATAAGTGTGCGGTCCATCGCGGGCCTGGAGGACGTTACTTCTCTAAAAAAATCCTTCAACAGGCACTTGCACTTCACTCTGGTCAAAGACAGAAACGTAGCGACGGTCAGGGACTATTTTTTTGCTCTCGCGTACATGGTCAGAGATAACCTGACTTCCAGATGGATTCGCACACAGCAACACTATCACGAAACCGACCCAAAGGTGATGTTCAAGGCCGACTCTTTTAAAACTGATTATACTTAACTAAACCTACTTAAATTCGATCACCTTTCGCCAAAATAATCAGCTGTAATCGACTAAAATGTTGGGAATATTTATCTTTTGTTTTTTCTTCAATACATTAAATTACATTTAAATACATTTTTCTTCGACTCACGAATAGTCAAATAAATGAGCATAATATGGCCCTCTTAAGTTCGCCACACCCTCTGTATGCAATATAATATAATATTATCTACACTACTCTCACGCCATAATGATGACTAAAAATATGCTAGTGAACAAAATAATAATTAACTCAAAATTTTTTTTTTACTACTATAACTATCTATTTTAAAGAAAATTGACTTAAATGTCTGTTAAATTTGACGATGAACCTTATATAAGTTTATACTTAAACAATTAATATTGACTATTAAAATAAAAAATACATTTTTTTAATGCAAATGATTTGTAGCGTGTATTGAATTGATTGCTTTATTATTGATATTAACACATTTTATTCCGTTTACACATCTAACCAATAGGTACTATTGAAAAATAAAATATCCAATTTACTTAAAAACTAATAAATCTCAATAAAATATTTGGTAATGTCTAGATGAATAAGTTACCATTTTCTTTGAATTTGAGTTCGAATTGGGTCAATGTGTATGATAATAATAGCATTATGTTTCATAATGAATTTCATACCTTGCAAGTTAATCGTGCCAATTAGAAGTAGTGTTTCATAATCAATTGGGTCACAGGTATCAATGGTTTTTTTTTTTTTTATTAAATATTAATAACCCATGTTATCACTTCACATTATTTTACAATTTACTCTGTCTAAAGCTTTAATATCTTGGTTTAACCCTAGACCGCCGACTTACCTGGGTCCATCATATTCGTGCAAAAAGAATTCAATTAAACCTTCGAATCCGCATGCTTAAAACGTTACTTATTAATAACAAACATACTAACTTAAACTTAAAACTACTAATTTATAAATCCCATATTAAACCCATTTGGACCTATGGTCTCCAACTATGGGGAAATGCCAAAAAATCAAATTTAAATAGAATCCAGGCATTTCAAAATATTACTTTAAGAAAATTAACCAACTCCCCTCCATACGTTTCAAATTATACCCTCCATACTGATATAAAAATTAAAACTGTAAAAGAAGAAGCTATAACATATTACAAAAGATTCCACACTCGACTAGCCACTCACTCCAATCCCCTAATAAAAGGTCTGTCAACTAATGTTATTCCTGGTAATCCTCCGAGACGCTTGAAGCGCAAATGGTGTAGAGACCTATTAACTGAATGAACAGACATAAATCAGACAAAAAATTAAAAAATAATCACTTAAAAGTGTCATCAATGGGTGGCTTCTTTTATCATGTTCTTTTCATGTTATACTATTATTTTAGCCAATATTCTGATTATACCAAATTGGAACAGATTGTGTATTTATTAATAAAGGGGAAAAAAAAAACTGTCTAAAGCTAACACTTTAGACATACAACATGCAACTTGCCATATTACTATTGCAAGCGACTCATGAATATTTACTACAATATTAAGAAGTGATTTAAAACTTAAAAATTACAAATAGATATTCAAAAAGAAAAAGTAAGCTGAGAAAAACAAGCTTATTAAAAAAAAGCATTAAAAATAAGTACATCATTAGTTTGGACTTGTTTACAAAAATATATTTCAGAATACCTGCAATCCCAATACTAAATTACCAAAACTTTATATATTCTCATCTATCACAAGTATATAGATTTATAAAAATTTCGTTGCTATTATATAATTTTAATTTATGTTAAAAAGATTTAATTAAGATTTTTTATCCAGTCTGAAATACATGATTATGTGTGTCAAATTATCATAAACAAAATATTAACTGTATATTTGAATAATCATTTTTTTCAGCGTATTTACTACATGTCCCTTGAATATCTGGTAGGTCGTTCTCTACAAAATACCATGATTAACTTGGGTATCCAAAGTAGTGTCGATGAGGCGTTATATCAAATGGGATTAGACATAGAAGAACTTGAAGATCTCGAAGAGGACGCGGGCTTAGGAAATGGTGGTTTGGGTAGACTGGCTGCCTGTTTTCTTGATTCCATGGCTACTTTGGGTTTGGCGGCTTATGGATACGGCTTGAGATATGAATACGGTATATTCGCCCAGAAGATCATTAATGGAGAACAGGTAAAACTCACGAATTCCTAATGATATGCCAGTTCAGTATTTTATAAATTATAACAAATATATTGCAGATCGAAGAACCTGACGATTGGCTTCGTTTTGGAAATCCATGGGAAAAGGCTAGACCTGAGTACATGTTACCCATTCATTTCTTTGGTAAGGTTCTTGACACACCGACTGGGAAAAAGTGGATCGACACTCAGGTATAATGTATACATTTGTATATTAATATCTATTGATAAGAACCATTGAATGATATTTTATAGTCCCAATTTTTTTTGTTTAGGTCGTATTTGCAATGCCTTATGACAGTCCGGTCCCGGGGTATCAAAATAATATTGTGAACACTATGCGTCTGTGGTCTGCCAAGTCTCCTGTAGAATTCAACTTAAAATTCTGTAAGTATTAGTTCTTTTAAGGGAAATTAGGTTAGAAAACTATTCATTTTTAAAGTATTAAAATATACCTTCAACCATAGTTCATTAAAAATAACAAATTAAATGAAAGTTTTAAAATGTACATAAATATAGATTAATATAAATATAACTTCTTCTTTACTTCACCACCATTCCCTACTAATTTCTTAACTTTTGCTTAAAATCCTATCACACTACCAATGGACTCCAATTATTCTAATACCATTAGTAATAAACTTCAGCTATATTTTAGCTTAGATGCATAGCTGAAGAAAAGTTATTAATTTTTTAATGATGAGTTTCCTTTTTATATTGTGTGTACACACAGTAACTTTTTTTCTACTGGAATGATTTGCTCAATCAGCATATCTATAGATCTCAAATAGTGTCTTTGTACTTCTAAGGAGGTAAAAATTGAATGAGCTCACTTCTTCATTCTTAAAATTAGGAAAACGCCTAAAATAATTTGATAATTTTTTAACATATAACTTTCACTTACTATGTATAATAATACCTCCACCAAAAATGGTTGGAGTGTATCAAATTTATTAAGGAACAACCTTTATTGGATATGCCCTTATCTAAAAATTGACTCACTCACGAGATTTTTCCAACCTAAACAAGTAAAATTTAATTGTTGGTTATAGTCAATGACGGCGACTACATTGAAGCAGTTCTCGACAGAAACTTGGCCGAAAACATTACTCGCGTTTTATACCCCAATGACAATTCATTTGAAGGTAAAGAGTTGCGTTTAAAACAAGAATATTTCATGTGCTCGGCTACACTACAAGTAATTGCTAGACTCGTGAGTGTTATATAGTGGAGTGCTGTAGTGATGCTTATTGTTTTTAGGACATTATTCGGAGGTTTAAAGCGGCCAAACCAGGAGCACAGGTGCGAGCCGACTTCTCCGAGTTTCCATCTAAAGTTGCTATACAACTGAATGACACTCATCCATCTTTGGCCATTCCTGAATTGATGAGAATCCTGATCGACATTGAAGGTTTAACGTGGGAAGATGCTTGGGACATAACCGTGAAGACGTGCGGGTATACCAACCACACAGTGTTACCTGAAGCCATGGAAAGATGGGCTGTGTCATTAATGGGTTCAATGTTGCCGAGACACATGCAAATCATTTACCATATTAACTTCTTACATTTACAAGTAATTAATATTAACATTTGCACTATAGAATTATTATTAAGTGATTATAATTTGCTCACAGGTTGTTCAAAAGAAATGGCCGGGTGACTTAGCACGCATGAAGCGAATGTCTCTGATAGAAGAAGACGGGGACAAAAGAGTAAACATGGCACATTTGTCTATTGTTGGATCACACATCGTCAATGGAGTTGCTCGTATCCACTCGGATATCCTTAAGAACGACTTGTAAGTTTAAAACTAAATCGATGATAATAAAATTACCTCAAATTTTCTAAGGGTATTCAAGTGTTTGGTCTGAAAAAAATTGTGAAAGTGTAGGCGCCTTCTTAAAATAGTGACGATACTTTTTTGAAAGTGAAGTTGCAAGACTGATTTAACATGAAAAATGCCATACTTGCCGATATCAGTATAGATGTTAGGCTGTACTAATTATGAATAATGAAAGTGTGACAGCTGTGAAGCTGAAATAAGATTATAATTTTGGTTTCAGTTTTCTCACTCAAATTGTTTGAAAAAGTTGCAAGGGTGAAATAGTACATACTAAATGTGTCTGTTGTATTTGGTTATTTACAGATTCAGAGATTTCTTTGAGCTTACACCAGAAAAGTTCCAAAACAAAACCAACGGAATTACTCCTAGAAGATGGTTGCTTCTTTGCAACCCAAATTTGTCTGATATCATTGGAGAGGTAATACTCTTAGTTTTGTCTAAGTACTTATAAACGGAATCTAACATAAATTATGTTATGTTTGCTTATAGAGAATCGGTGATAACTGGATAACACATTTGGAAGAACTCAGTAAATTAAAGGAACTAGCGGATGATCAGAGTTTCATGTTAGACATACAAAAAGTTAAACAAGAAAACAAAATGAAACTAGCTCACTGGTTGGAAACTGAGTATAATGTCAAGCTTAATCCTAATTCAATGTTTGATATTCAAGTATGTAATCCATCCTAATAAATGTTATTCTATTGTTTAAAATCTAATTGATAAAAGGTTTATCCTATCTTTAATCTTAGTCTAAACGCTCAAGTTACATGTTGTGTATAGTGTTGTAGATATTTTATCTCTGACAGCAAAATATTAAATTAATATTTTAAAAAAATGTGAAAATATTATACAAATATATTTTTGGCCATAAACATTTTAAATTTATTTAAAAAATATTAATATTTTTTTGTGCGCGTGATAGTACATTTTAGTAATTTGTCTCATTTAGTAAATGTTTTAATCTATTCATTTTATTTTATTTTAATTTAGGTGAAAAGAATTCATGAGTACAAGAGACAATTGCTAAACTGCTTGCATATTATCACTCAGTACAATCGAATCAAGAAAAATCCAGATGGTGAATTTGTTGCCAGAACCGTGATGATTGGCGGAAAAGTTAGACAAAACTTTAAGAAATAAAATATTTGCTTTATATTAATTTCTTATACTTATGTACTAGGCTGCTCCTGGATATTATATGGCCAAAAAAATCATCAAGCTCATCAACTACGTAGCCAACATAGTGAATAACGATCCCGTGGTTGGTGACCGCCTGAAAGTGTTGTACTTAGAGAATTACCGTGTGACATTTGCCGAAAAAATTATACCCGCAGCTGATCTCAGCGAACAAATTTCCACAGCCGGCACCGAAGCATCCGGAACCGCAAACATGAAGTTTATGGTAAGTACCGATGGCATAGGACCCAGAGAGATTTTAATAGTCAACTGATCAATCGTAATATTTTCTATGTCCTAAAAATTATAAATATCTTTGAAAAACTGCCAATAATCTTGTAAAACTTCATAATTTTTTAAACGCCCATTTACCGACAAACATTTTTTTTGTACGGTTTTATTCATATAAATTTAACTGATCACCGTTACCATTGTCAGTTTTACTCTACACTTTTATTTTTTTCTAGCTGAATGGCGCGTTAACCATCGGCACTTTGGACGGTGCTAACGTGGAAATGGCTGAAGAGATGGGAGCAGAAAACATGTTCATTTTTGGAATGACAGTCGACGATGTTGAACTGTTAAAGAGAAAAGGATACAATGCATATACATACTATGAATCGAATCCGGAACTCAAGCAATGCGTCGACCAGATCCAAAATGGTTACTACAGCCCCAACAATCCAGACGAATTTAAGGATATTGTCGACGTACTTCTTAAATGGGACAGGTGAGAACTTTCATTGTCCTGTAAGCTTAAACACGTTGATAAGTTAATTATTTCAACGAGCATTTTGTTCACTCACTAGATTCTTCTTGTTAGCCGACTACGAGGACTACATTAAAGCCCAAGACAAGGTCGACGAAACATACATGGTATGCTTGTAAATTTGTACACTTCCCCCAATCTCATAACAAAGCATTATATTATTAATACTTTTGAATTTACTCAGGACCAAATAAAATGGACACGTATGGCCATTTTAAACATCGCTTCGTCAGGAAAGTTCTCTTCAGATCGCACCATCACTGAATATGCCAGAGATATCTGGGGTGTTGAACCAACATGGGAAAAGTTACCAGCCCCCCATGAGCGCATTGCTGATCTTCCAAAGCCACAAGTCTAATTTCTTGTGTTTTTATTTAATAGATGCAAATATATGTTTTTATGTATAATTTTTAAGCAATAGATTCTTATTAATCTTTACAAAATTGTGTTCCTCACTTTTTCCTCAAGTTTTTGTGTTTTATTATTTTTTATTAAAATTACTTAATTTAAATTTGAAACAAATTATTAATTTATAGTTGATTGTTTTTATTATATTCACTGTTTTTATTAATTTTTAGTGAATTATATTATGTTGTCAAATACTAAAATATTAATGCATTAAATATCATATTTTATAATAATGTATCGATATTATTATTATTTCAATCAAACTTCTAGGTATTTGATGAAACAAAATAAATAATTTATTCATTTACCATACAAACCGATATTATCTTAATAATTCTATAATCTATACAATATATACACAACAATAATTATTGAATAATATGCAAGCCAAAAAGGGAATAGGACTAAAATTGTCCTTAATAATTACATTATAATTCATTGTATTTTTTTTTTTAAATAATCAAAATTAATAAAAAATAGTTTTTAAGAAACTAAAATTACACATACACAGCTATTGTGAATACATTTCCGAGATTGTGTTTGAATATGTATTGTATTTAAATACTTTTTTAAACATAATATTTAAAATGTATTTTATACATATTTTTTAAAATAGTTTTTAACAAATCTGGCCTTTGGACTTATACCGATTATTAAGATTAACTTATGTTGTGTAATGTCCTGTCACTACTTTTAATATTACATAATTCTATTAAAAACACTAACTAAAATAGAATTGTTAGCTGTTTTTTTTATTAATGTTAGCTAAATTTTAGTTAACAATAAGTGTTTTATGTCCATTCTAATAAATATCAAATCTGTTGGCAATATCCATTTCTTATAGATTCGTTTGAAATAAATAATAAGATCGCAAATTACATTAAAAACCTGTTTACTTGAAAATTAATACATTTGTTAACAAATATTTTTATTACAAAATTACAATTGAATATAAATATTGAGAATACTAACTAAAAAGTGTTAACACATTGCAACATTGTAAGGTACAAAATTATTATTCTAAAAAAATAACAGTGAAAGGTGATATTGATATATAAACATTCTATAACTATTCAGTCTTTTGCAATATACACATCAAATAACAAAACTATAAAAAACAAGTAAAAATGATTAAGTAAATGTCATAACTTACAAAGTAAACATTAAACATGTTTTTTTTTTGTAACTGTGCGGATAAGGAATATTGAATTAAAATTATATCAATGGTTTAACCAATATAGGAATAATGTTAACCACATTACTCAAAATGAAAAATATGATTTGTTAAATTTTCACTTGAAAATGTAATTTTGCTTAACCCTTCATTGCATAATGTTCCATATATGGAACAATTATATTTATTGTTTATACCCGCTCATGCTATACATCTTTGTATGCACAATGTTCCAAATTCTTTAATTAGCGTTTTCCATGAAACCAAAACTAAAAAAAAAAATGTATTTTAATTGTTTTAAGTAGTATTAAGAACATTTATAGAATATGGTTAAAAAAAAATTCATGCAGTGAAGGGTTAATTTTTTATTAGTTTTGACTTAGTTATAATATCTTATATAATACTTTAATATATTGTATAATACCTAATAATAATAGTTAAAATCATGAAAGGAACTTTAACCCTCATATTCCAAAAAGAGACGGAGTTTGTTTTTTTTTTTTTTGTAGTTCGGCTACCATATTTAACACATGTGATGATCGGCAAATTATTTTATTGTTAATACAGAAAGAAATTAGGAAACACTTATTGGTAATTAATTTTTTTTTCTAGAACTAGAAGGGCTTACAAAACGCAATACTAAAAGTGTTAAAAAGACAACACAATTTAAAGTGCAATTTGTGCGTTCGGTTTTGAATGTTTGGTATGCATTATACAGTTTATGAGATTTTGTACTATTGCCTCACTCTTACGGTTTAATTTCTTATTACTGTAATAACTATATCTGTAATAACTGTGTCGACTTCTCTATATATCAATTTTAACTTTGAGGTTTAATTTTTAAACTTTCATTAAAAATAAGTGAACTCTGTGCCGGTTTTTAGGAAATATCTTAAAAAAAAAAACACCATTCGTGTGTAAAAACAAAAGTAGTGGGACCTATAAAAATAGTTTCAGATTGAAATCGGGTTTTTTTTTTCTATCGAGACCCAAATGGTGGGCGGTCTCATTAATCTGGTCTTCGGTTACTTCGGTTTTGATTAGCATGTTCAATTTGTCCACATTGTAGTCGACCATTCCTGAGAACAGAGCGGGCCACCGGAAGATGGTCACCAGGCGATGATGGAGCTTTTTTGACTCTTCACTGTCCCAATCGAATTCTACACCGGGGTTTATCGTGGTATCGGTTTTCAGACAACTACTCAGACTCGATACGTACGTGTACAGCATTTTGAATGTTTCATAGTTTGGTGGGACCGAACCCATTGCGTGCAAAGGTAACACAAGCTGTTTGATTTCTGGATACTTGAACTCTTTCTTAACCTCTTTCTTAATTAGGCAATCGATGTCTCTCACCCGTATGTCCATAAGGCCTCGCAATTCGCTCATGCTAGAATTGATTATGTCACTGGTCCTCAAAGCGCCTTGGACCCCTTCGTGGATAAAATCAAAGTCTACCATGTCGCACCCTTCGTCCGGTCCCGTATGAGCGTTAGGAAACGTTAACGCTTGGTTGGACGATTGTTTAAGGTAAGTCAACATGGACATAAGCCCTTCGTCCACGAAATCGTCTTTGTGCACTATTTCGTCCGGAACCCTGAGATCGGCCCCCAAGTAGTTGAGCACATAATTCAGTAGCTCGCACTTGCTGGAAAAATTACAATGGTTTTTGATATATGCGTTATCTAGGAAGGCTTTTTTGAGTTTGCGGTCGGCGTCCGTTTCTTCGAGCTGGTTACGCGCCTTAAGGGACTGTCGACTTTCCTTGAATCCTTCGAACACAACGTTGTGAACGCTTTCTAAGTCGTCGGGCAATTCCGGAAGTGTTTTTACTCGGTACGTATGCGTGGCCCTCGGGAAGCAATCGATGGTCAGGTTCGGATTCTGTTCGATTTTTTTCTCGATTAGTTTGAACCTGTGCCGGCACTGTTCGGCATTACGTCCAGGCACTTGCTTAGATATTTCAGACCAAGTCCATTCATTGGGCGCGTGTCGGTTAACGGCACTCAACAACAGCTTGTCCTCTTCGGGAACCCAACCGCCACGATATATTTCGCTCAAATAGGATAAGTTTCGTCGATAAGCGTTTCGAATTTGCGTAGTAGTTCTATTAGTCAGATTCATAGACACGACGGAAGCTGGAATATTGTTTTTTTGGGCCGCACTGATTATCATCTTTTCCTTGTCGTCCAGTAGACCCTTTTTGATACCCGGCTTCAAGCTAAACATCCACCTAAAACATCCATTTAAATTTCTCTTTTTGAGCATTAAAACGCGTGAAATAGCTGATTTGAGCGTTTTTGTTATATATTTATAAATATTAAATAGTTTCTGAGGTCACTAGAGCAGTGTTGAGTAATATCGTTTTCTAGATAAAAAGTTCGAATAACGAATAAAAAGAAAAATATTAACCCATATTTTCGAGAAAAAAAAATTATTCAAATAAAATGGGCGCACACTTGTTGCCTCCCAAGAATATCTGAGTTCCCTCCGGTGACCTTTATTTCTTATCGTAATATTTTGGGTCATAAACTACTAGTTGCTTCCCGTACCAGGTATTCAATATTTTTCATCCGAGTTCCTCTCAAGGTTATCCGAATTCCTTCCCAACGATCCCTATTAAACCAGGTACACAGTACAACGAAACTTTACTTATTTTTAATAACTTTACATAAATACTTGCAATCTGCGTACTACCAAATTGTATACTATTTTAGAATAATCAATTATAGTGTGTATTTTACTTTACATGTGCAATAGGTAACCGATAGTAGTACCTAATTCTGTATATGTATCAGTTTTTTGTGGAAACTAAATTTAAAACCATTTAAAATGTTAAGGGTTTTACCTTTTTCGCTTGTCATTTCTTTAGTTACTTCCATTTTACACAAATTATATTAAAATTAAAACTAAACACCACGTAATTACCGCTTTTTAGACTACTTTGATCTATAATAACATTGATATCGGGATACCCACACATAACAACTATATCGATAGCCGTCAAACGTTGACGTTAAAAATAATTACAGCATACAGTTTTAAAATCAGATATTTTTAGAAGGAAATTCAGATGAAAAATACTAAGTACCTGACACGGAAGGGACCCGGGCATCTAGGTCGCAAATGCCGGGGGGTCAAATATAGAGGTCATTTCACTAAAATGTCATGTTTTTTTAAATCTTCTAAAATTAATTCAATAATCTATTCACAATTATTAAGTACCTTTAATAGGACTAAAAAGTAAAAAATTAAATTAATTAATTTAAAAAAAACTTCTTTTAAAAACATGCTTTTCTAAAATATACTAAAAAAGTTAAATATATTAAAAAACTAAACAATTAATTTACTACAAGAACAATTTACCAATCAATTGTAGCAAATTTTTGTTAAAATGTCAATTACTTTGAAAACAACCGAAAATTAACAACATTTTTTAAATAATGTTAAACATCTTTTATTTTTTACTAAAAAGAAAAGAGCGGGCCCTATTCAACAAAGTCCAAATTCATTGAGTTATAAGTATTATAAAATGTATGTGTCACACAGTGGCGTGCAAAGGGGGATATATCCCCGGATCCCCCCAAGGGCCTTTTTTATACTTTTAACATTGAAGTTCATCAACATACTATGTAGTATGTAATTTGTACGTACTCGTTGAAAACAAAATTTATCATCGAAAATATGTGCTGTGGTAACTGATAAGTGATATCAAAGACATTAACCACAATTACATGACATTATTTATGACATCCCTCTTCATACAAAATTCCTGCGCACGCCACTAATGTCACATCTTAATATTAAACCAAATTTAAATTACAAAAAAACCTTACAATATAAAACATTATGTGATAAATTTATTAAGGACTTTGTTGAATCGGGGACGGGCGACGCAACGACTCATTCATACCTCTCATCTGTAGCTAAAAAATTACATCATAAGGTATGATGTATTGGGTAGTGTATTTGGGTATTATTATAGAGGAAAGTTTTTGCTATACATACATAAGCCACAGATACATCATAATTTATATCTGCCGCACAGTGGTCTGAGAATGAAATTTAGGTGGCAAAAATAGGCCATTAAAAATGTTCAAAAAATCAACTTTTTTTTTCTAGGATCTCATTAGTATATGATTACTGGTGTAAATGTAAAATTTCAACATTTTTTGAACTGGAGTTATAGCCAAGTGAACTAAACACATATTGTTTTTTCTGTTATTTTGAAAATAAAAATGCCGATAATTAATTAATTTTTTTTGGCTATTAAAATATGTAAAATAAAAAAAAAATGCTTGATTGTTTAGTAACATATAAAGATTATAAAATAAAAATAATTTTTTTTTTTTTTAATTTAAGTCAGAACAGCTGGAAAATCCTACCTGTTGTAAATCTGGTCGTTTGAACGCCCCGAGTCGTGCATGCCATAGTATACTTTTTGCCAATTGATCATTTTTTCGATTGAATTTTCTTTGATCACTCTCATAAGTTTGATGTCCTCCTCTTTGGACCATTTGCCTTTTGTATATAAATTCCCTTTGTACTTTTGATAATGAACAAAACACTGCAGCTCATTGCGGTTTGTTTCCAACTCTTCGGCGATATGCGTCCAGTTTTTCTCGCCATACTTTTTGGCGAGTTTTATTAAGTTTTTGTCTTCTTCTTTGGTCCATTTGGATCTAGATACGTAGGGCTTCAGCATGAGGTTCCAGAATCGCTGACACTGCACGTCCGATTTGTTTGTCACTTTGGCGATGTGAAGCCAGTCGTACTTGGTGTCAGACTCCATGAATTGAAAAACCAAACGTTGAAATGGCGTCTTTGACAACACGTCCAATTCTTTTTGGATTTCCATGATTTCGACTTTGATTTTTCTTTTTATGACCGGGTCGTCAATGGCGACCAGATCTCGTCCTAGCCGCGCCTGTTGGGCTAGCATAGGAGTTTTGATTTTGTCCAATACTTCTTCGTGTATGGCTTGCTCCAGTTTGTTCTTGAACTCTTGATTCCACAAGTTTCTCTCCACGCATTCTTCCAGTATGAACCGGCCGTTATAAGACAATATCAGCCTACCGGTTTCGTATAATTCCATCAAATGAGGATTATGTGGACAATTCGATAGCCCTATTTTGAAAAAATTCGCCAGATGCGCTTTTTTCTTAAGGTCTGGAATAGCCATATCTGACAATAACTTTCGTTCATATTTAATCACTTTGTGGGCTTTGGCCGCGTTTCTTTTTGACACTGCAATGTTTGTCATAAAGGTACTCCTCGTTTCTTCCAAGTGGACAATATTGCGGCCTATGGTGTCGATAAAGCTAACACATCTATCTAACAACTCCTCGCGTAAGCTGCTGCTCTTTTGCTCTATACTGTCAAAATCAATTGTCCTGATTTCGTCGAAAAAATCTTTCATGCCGTCATCCGGATCGCCTTGTGATTTCTGTTCCGATAAATCATGGTAATTACCGTCAAACATATAACCGTCATTAGATACATCGGGTTTTTCATCTTCGTCGGTATCGCTGTGTTTGAATTCGTTTACCAACCAAGTAAAATCACACGAATTTGCAGTAACGACAATATTCTCAAATTCCATAGACGTCCCGGGGGTCGGATTTCCGTATTCATCCATCATAGAATGGTTTTCTAATGTATTATATCTGAAAAAAACTATATTTCATTAAATTATAATATCCCCAATGTCAATTAAAAGTCACATTAAGAGAAAGGTATATACCCTAAAATATAGTAGGGTTCGGTTTCGTCAATTTTTTTGAAAAATTTAAATTTAAAGCTAAAACAATGGTTTTTATTTATTACTGTGTAATGTGTCAATAATTATTTCACTAAATAAATATATTCTTAATGAAGAAATCAAAAAATAGTTTGGTATTAATAAATTTTGTATAATATACCACTTGTGTCATTTTAAAATAATAATGGATATTTTTCAAAAAAAACTAATTCAATCAAAAAGTCCTATAGTGGCTTTAAACTTTAGAGTTACACTGAAAGAAGATTAAAAAAATGATACAAAATTCGAAATGGCCGAACAAATTATATGTTATATGAACACGCTTTTTTTAAATGGTTGTTTACCAAAAAAATGTTCTCGTCAAAACTAACAACTTTTGTAGGAAAAAATGTTCAATAAAATCTATATTTTATGAGTTTTTAAAGCCATTTTTTTTACATGATTATGTCCTATAGCTGGGATCTATCTGGAATTTCGTCATCAATTTGCAGGTCATTTTGTGGCTCAGTTTTTCGATCATGACACCGAATTTACAGACGTAATTACATTTCCATTCCATCAACCATAAGGCCTATGTTCTTTGTTGAGGACTTATCTACGAATTAAAAAAAACGCGCTTAGGTATATCGATCCAGTAGTTTCAGAGATAAGTAGGTATAGTGCCCCGTAAAGCGTTCTATACATGCAGGTTCCAGGTATACAAACGGCTGTAGGCGAGTTCGAACAGACGTATTCATGGCAAAATGAAGAGTCTGGCTTTCCCACCACCCCTCTAAGCATGACAGAAATGTCATGCGCCATCTGGCAACCAAACTAGGCCCGGTTAAATGTGCCATACCCTAAATAAATAATGTCAACATAACAATTATTATTTAGGATGTCCACCGTCCCACGAAAAAAACGTAAGGTTTAAACAGATTAATCATAACTCATATGTTACTATTATACGAAGAGAGATCTAAAGATAAAGAAGTGTTTAAGGATTTGTTAATTTTTTACAAACGTTGTTACTTATTACTATTTAAAATTCAGTAAAATAATAACAGTAATATAGGCTATAGAGTAACATAACATTAAACAAAGAAATCGTAAAAAATACTTTTTTCCACAGCTAAATTATTGAATGAAGTAAAAAGAAACATTATAATTCATATTTATTAAAAATGTAGGTATGCGTTGTCAAAACAATAAATATTATGCACTATTATGTAATAGTTGTACATAATGTATAATGAATCATAAGAACATGACGCTGCTCATAGCAATAAAAAAACTAAGTAAGCTAATATACTGTATCATAATAGTATAGTATAGTTATTACAATAGTTTATTAGTTGTTACCACGATGTAGAGAAGATAAGGTGACGCTACTCAACTTCTTATTAGTAAAATTACGGGGTCGAATGCTCAGGCATTTTGGTAGTTCAGCCTTGCTGCACAGGCGGCGCCACCATTCGCCCGGAGGCCGATATTTTCTATACGGCTTATGGGCGATAAACGTTATTTTTTTTATGTTAATTATTTGTAAAATATATAATATCTAAGAACTAATTACACATTAATCTGAACATACATTTATTAATAGGTATATTAGGATAAATGTATAGTTGTTAATTAAATCGAATAAGGAATTGAAAAATGTTGATAGTGAAAGAAAAGAGGTTTCAATAGCCTATACATAACATTACACTTAATTATAAATTTTATATAATAGGAATAATAATACATAAGTGTAGAATTGTTCTATAAATGAATTATAAGTATATTATTGTACTTTAAATTGTATATATTAATACATTTTAATAACTACAGTAGCATTCATAAAAATTATCCATTGTAATGAACTGTAGCGTTCAATACAAACACTATCTTAACAGTATACGAAATATAGTAATTAAATGATTTAGACTTTAGTAAAACAAATAAACTGCCAAGATAGATTTGATTCAATTTAATATATCACTTTTATAAACAGTACTTGCACGGGTAAAACAAGTAAGAGCAATTGAATACATACTCGCTGTTTCATTGGGGTTTTATAGTACAAGAATGCAAGCTAGCATATCCTAATACTTGTGGTAAACAAGTATTAACAACGTCATTTACATAGAATTGAGTACAATGATAAAATGCTTAAATGCTAACTAAGTATTACATCTTAATTAAAATCTACCCAAAACAACAGTAAGCAATAATGTTTTACACGTGTCATGGCATGGTCAATATTGTATCTCAAGGAGATCTGACCATTACACCATACTGTATAATATGAGGTATGGTATTTCAAAAGGGAATAAATTCAATTTTCGAATATTAGTTTTCTTCCTACTTTGAAACGCCAGTCTATATAATTGGTCTAACTATACAGAGCAATTAATCAGTGACGTCGTGGATCCATTTAATAAAACTTAATATTCGATAATTTCCTTAAATGATGAACGTAAGTTAAGTTCATAAGGCATAGGCCAAAGACACCGATAAAAATGAATAAGAACAACAGTATTTTATATAATTATATATGCCGCGGTATATTATGTAGACACAAAATATAAACAATTATTGGTGATGCAAATATCATCCTTAGGAACACAATGTAGAGAATATATCCCTGCTTCGTCCCTAGGAATTGCACGTATTCGGAGACACTTAATTGGGGTTTATGAATGTAATAAATATCCACCTTATACAAGTGATACTTATTTTGAGAAATTAAAATAATCGTGTCGTAAGACAAAGAGAAAGTAAAAAGAGACTCTCTACTCTCTTGATGTATACACAGTCAGAGCACTAGAGTATAACGGGTTGCCGTCCGGGTTCTTCGCGGATGTCGAAGAGGCGTTGTTTACCATTGGATTAAAAAGAATTAGAGATTGAGAAAGGATAGGTACAAGGTGCGAACGAATCGCAAGACACGAGTACCTAAGGAAATGTAAGCACACGCAGTACGAACGAATCGCAAGACACGTGTGTGTGGAGAGGAAAGTATAAGGTGCGAACGAATCGCCAGACAAGTGCACGAGGAAAGAGGAGAGACTACTAGGTGTTAAATGAACGAACTCTCGAGCTTAAACCTTGTAGACGGACAGCGACAACCGAGCACTCTTGAGTGATGACATGTGGTTACGGTAAAGTCGACTGACAAAATATCATTGAATTTAATTGTCTTTTATATTGTTTTACAATTTGCAATTAAGCGTTATTGTTAATTTAATCGTTTGGTCGTCAGCCTCAAGTCGCCAGAAGCATTGCCCGCATTTATTTTAAAAAACACGTAATCTATATTGATGACGTCGACGTGGTTATCACATAACAATCGGAAAAAAATTATCTATTGTTATGTAAAAGCGTACTAAAGTGTGTTCACTCAAATGGATAAGGCTCCGTTTATTAAGTCAGAGGTATTAAAATTAACATATGCTAAATAATTCTCCGATCCCCGTTTTAATATACCCTACTTTATAAGTCCCTTTTAATTACCCTATATTAAGCTTTATCTTGTAAAATTTTCTAGTTTCACTTAGTTTTTAGGGAACTGCATTTTTCGTGCAATTATTCTTTAGACCTTCAAAAACTATAAACTCAATTTAAAAAACTTCTCTGGTGCTTAAAATTCGATATAGCGGGGGGGGGGGGGGTGGTGGTATATATATATTATTATAAAAGGATAGTCAACGTTCGACCAAAAACGTCTTTTGTCGAATAGGAACTAGAATAAATAATACATTTATTAGACTACATAAACGAATATTGTGGTTTTTAAAATAATATATAATCTATAGTCTAAATTAAAATTAAATTACACGTAATATATTTTTATTTATCAATAAAAATGACAGTAATGCCGGGTCCACACAGAGCGAACAATATTAAAACAAAACAAAAAAACGATGTTTTTTGACAATTTCCAAACAATTTTGTTTTTTTCAACAAAATGTCCCGTTAGTAGTGGGAAATTTTGTTGATGTTTTTGTTTTGTTTGTGTTTTTATGAACACTATAGGTCGGTTTGGACACAATGTGTATAAAAATAAAAACATTCATCGACCATCGTGTCAATACAGTCGAGACCATTTCAAGCGACTAGTCCTGTACCGATTTTTCGTTTGTAAATTATTTTTGTGTGTTGTGAATTTAAATTGTATTTTTGTTTTTGAATTATTTATATTTTATACCATGAGTAAAAAAAATGGTCTGTAGATGAAACATGTAAATTGATCGAGTTATACCGCGAAACTCCAATATTATAGAATACCAAAGAATTAAATTATAAAAATAAATTTAAAACAACTGACGCACTAAATCTATCTTCGATATTTCTTTTAAGTTTCCACATTGTTATTTTAATTTTTTAAACAATTTTATTATTAAAATAAAAAAAATAAAAACGAACTAACCAAGAACCGAATAGATCGCACTTCGAAAGCAGACTAAAGTCTAAACTAGTATAAAAGTATGAACACAATTTTAAAACGATCTTTTCAGTATGGATAGATGAAAACAAAAACAAAATACAAACATAGTATTTGAACTTTGTTCATGTTTTTTTTTTGAGAATTTTTTTCAATTCCGTGTGGACAAATGTTTTTGACAGCTTTGTTTTTTATAAACAGAAAAAAGTTGAGTTTTTGTTTTGTTTTTTAAAAACCTCTGTGTGGACCCGGCATAACGTATGATAATAATATGTAAAAACCCCTATTAGTTCCATGTAAAAGTCGGACTCCGGGTGAATGGTGGCGCTATCTACGTGACAAAATGCCGTAATTTCTTGGCCCACTGATTTGGTTGGAGTGGCGTAACCTTATCTTCTCTACATCGTGGTTGTTACAATAGTTACATAGTTTATTATATATATCTGTTGAGTTATACAAGCCAAAGCCCATAATAACTCTGTGTCCTGTGACATCAGTTATCAATGTTAAACAATATTACAAACCACAGAATATTATGATAAATAAATTAAATTGTTTCTGTGGTACTACGTCTTCTAGTTTTATGATTAGTCGTTATTTTTATCAAAAAAACATTACTCTTGATCCTAGCATTCTAAATTCGTATGAATTATTATATATTTTGTTTAAATTTTAAAGCAGATAATATAAATAATGTGTATTCAGTATTGTGGAGCTTGTACAGAGTTTGGTATCTATTTGATGTGTTATTACTGTCCGAGCGCACGATAAAACTAGGTATATTGAAAAATGTAGACTTACTTTCATCTGACGGTGATATTTAGCATTTTCAAATTATATATTTGTGAAAATTTAAATTTTAAAGTTTGTGATTGAAAAGCGTGCTGACAAGTTAAATACAAAACGATCTGTATTGTTGACGAACTGTATACAGACAATAATATACTTGTTGTAATCCGCATGCACATGAAATGAACTCGGAAAGCGCTATCTGGTAACACTATGGTATACTATAAACCAATTATGATAGGTATCCCCGGTTAAACAAATTGTGAATTGTATCAATATTGTTGAGTGGTATCAACCATAGACCTATAAAGAAAGGGATCTTTATAGGTCTATGGTATCAACTAATAGCTATAATCACGATCTTGTAATATCATGGATATAATAATATATTTTATGTCTATGGGAACCCGCCTACCATTGTTATCAAACATGATACTTTTTGAGTTATGATAATGTTTTTTAGTTTTAAAATTAAAATTTCAAAGAAGAAAGTATTTAATGTGTACGAAAATAATTCTGTTAAAACGTGTATGTTATAATTTGAATTGTTTTTTTTTTTTGTTAGTTCATAGCTTGTCAATAATATTTTTTACAATTTTCTCTTCCGTGTAATTACTGTGTAACTACAATGAGTGCTAATGACAATGTAGTTCAGCAAAAAGGATCGCGATTAAAGTTAAACAAATCCTTAAGCAACACCGCACAGTGGGTCAAGCTAAACGTAGGAGGTACTTGTTTTCTGACCACGAAGTCAACTCTATGTAAGGACCCTAACTCCTTTTTATGCAGACTTTGTTCAGAAGAATCTGAACTCATATCCGACATGGTACGTTGTTATAATTGTTAGATAATCAAAAACTATATTAAATACTATTGACTAAATTATTTCAACTAACAAAAAAAAGGGAATATATTTCTAATCTATAATATTAAACTTTTTCTGGATTTATGTATTTCTAAAAACACTATAGATTCATTTTTTTAAGAATCCTTTTCCAAAACCTGTCCATTTTCTCCCCAACAAAGTGTTTAAGTCTGTAAAATTGTTGTAGTCGAAGATAATCTTTTTAAAAGACTAGGCATTTCATGATTACCATCCGAAATCCCGACAGCACTTTTCCCAACAACATTTCTCCCGACAAGAAATTTCCCAACAAGTATAATAATAATAATATATAATAATAAGTAACACTCTGGCTGCTAAGTAGCCAGTGTTATTTAGTGACGCTGCTAAGGATGTGTTCCTGAATGCAGATCTTGCTTGCTGCTTCCTTCGCATCTTGGCACACAAAATCGTCCTATAACTATACTAAATAAACCATTTTTTGATTAGATTAAACCAGATTTTATTGTCGGGGTAATAGCTTGTCGGGAAAAGGGTTGTCGGGATTTTGGATTCGAGGAAATGACCGGGAATCGTTTTTCATACATGAAAAAGGGTAAGCATTTTGTATACATTGCTGGGCATATTTATTATCAAAAATGGAGAAAAAACATGAACATTAGAATATACTATATCTATACTTCATCCTATATAAGTGTGTTATTGTATAGAAATGTTTTAGGATATGGAATGTGGGATACACCTTATATGATATAGAACATAGTATATATAACATTAATATACTATACCTTTTGATGAGTTTTTAAATTAAATCACTTTTTGGTTTATACTGTTGATAAATTCATTTTTGAAAAAAAAACAAATTGTCATTACTATCCAAAAAAGTTCACATTATCGTTTTAAGTTTAAACGTTTATTAAGAAACATTGCCTATATATAACCTATTTAAAAGTGATATGTGTAGCATCCTGTTAATATGTAAATTAAAATATAAAATACCTACATTTGTTAAAAACAATTTGTTTCATTTTTTTATTTCTAGACACCTTACAATTTTTTATATATTTTGTTAATATTTTTTATTTATTTAAGGATGAAACGGGAGCGTACATGATCGATCGTGATCCTACTTATTTTAGCCCGATTTTAAATTATCTTAGACATGGAAAATTGGTATTAAATAAAAACCTTGCTGAAGAAGGTAACTATATTTAATTATTGTAATATATTTAATATTTGTTATGGTAACTATTGTTTTATTATATAGGTGTATTGGAAGAAGCCGAATTCTACAACATAACCGAATTAATAAACATAATTAAAGAACGGATAGAACAGAGAGACAAAAAGCTCTGTTCAGAACAATCAAAAAAGCATACTTATCGAGTGCTGCAATGTCATGAAGATGAACTCACGTGGATGGTTTCTACAATGTCTGATGAATGGAAATTCGAACAAGTAATTTTTGTATATTGTTATAAATATTAATTATATTTAATGAAATGACAACTATTCATTTTTAGTTGGTGAATATTGGATCCAAATACAATTATGGCAATTATGATCAAGCCGAGTTTTTGTGTGTTGTGTCAAGAGAAGAAGGCCTTGCTGATTCGCCAAAGACTGAGTCCACCGACAAAGCCAAAGTAATTATTGCTTGTTATTATTATTTTTTTTTGCAATATAATTTTATAATTATTTTAATTACACATTATATGTAGGGTGGCACCTAAAGAACAGATGTTTTCAATTAATAACTTCTTTATTATTAAAAAATAGATGGGTCAAAACACCATATATGAACAAACATTTAGAGCGACCACCTCAAATTTTTTTGAAAATTACACTGCATGTCTGTTACGATGAAAACAATTTTCTTAAATTTGTTTGGCCATGGTCGTCAAAAGTATTTTGAGTTTTTTTCGTGATACATCTTTTTTATATTATCTTCGGCCAACTAAAAAATATTATTTGATTTACTTTTTCAAGTAACAGAAAGTTATTAGAACTGAGATTATAATCTAAAAAAATTTTGTTTTTTTGTGTTGCCTAAAATTTGAGAATTTTTCGAATATTTTTCAAAAAGCTGAGATAGTTTTACATAAAAAGTGAAGAGCACAGGGGCAAAACGGTAGTAGTCATATTATAAAATTTTTAGAGTATAGCAAAAACAAAGTTTGTGAATTCCTCTCCCTCTTACAAAAGAACAAAAAAAATCACAATAAATGCTATTCTAATAAAAAATGTATTTATTTAAACAATTTATTGATATAAATAAAAAAAATAATCGCATAAATTGAAAAAAACTATTTAAAAAAAAAAAATTTCATAATGTGACTACTACCGTTTTTCCCCTGTGCCCTTCATGTGTAAATTTCAAACTGGGTTCTCCATAAAATCAAAAAGAGGTAAAATTTCATAGAAAATCGATTAAACGACCATAGTCATCAAAATAGTTAAAATAGTTATGCATAAATAACATAATTTTCCATATTTTTTACTTTTTTATAAAATATTTCACCTCTTTTTTGTTTTTCAAATAATGTTTTATTATTTATGTTTTGATCTATGATCTATGATACACATGATGTTATAAATTATTTGTCCTATTGATTATTATATTCTATTGCCTAACAACTATTACAAGCAGCCAGTAAGTTGTTAATGTATTTTAAAATATTCCAGGAATTGCAACAAAGAGCATCCCGTATGTGATATATACAGTCGACTAAATCGGTTGTCATGCATGTATGCAAATTTTTCAAGACGATATATTATGTAACCAAAGATCTATGTAGTAAGTCAGTTGGAAGATTTATGAATACTCGTCAAAACACTAGATCATAATCAAATAATTCTGCTTTTGTTAATTTATTAGTAGAGTTCCAGTATGTAAATTAATCATCATTAATTTATTATATGTTATTTTTACATTTACATACTGAGTTGTTAATGAAAATATGTAAATCTCCTGCTGTAAAATAATTTAAAATTCTACAAAAAAATATCACTATGAGTTCTATTTTAAATGTTTTAAATATATCTATAAATATTGGAGATTAATTAATATAAACATTTTGTAATCTCATTACTCAAAAAATATTATGTTGCTACAATAATTGCAATCGTTATAATTATTATAACGATCACTACTTTTATGTTGTGTAAATTGTTGTCGATAATTGCTTGTAATCTTAATATTTTTAACCATTAAATTCTAATAATAGACAGAAATATAGGACTGAGAGTCGTTTAATGTTTATAGCATCTGTAAAAAAGGTATAAACATTATATATTAATAATTATTAATTAATTTTAAGTAATATGGTTACTCTTTTGTAAATTAGTTTCTTTGGTCTATTTTCATTGATACAGTTTTTTTACTTTTTTTTACACGTCACTATCTTACAATGGCTTATGTAAATTTATTTATACTAGTATATAGTATGTACCTATATTATATACATTTATAGAATATATTGTTATTGTTTTATAAATATTTCTTATTCATCCATTATATAAATTATACGAAATATTTGACCATTACAGCTATACTACCTATAAATATTTTTGTTTTTTATAACTGATTGAACTTGAATATAATTTTGATAAACTCTTAATAGTTAGTATTATCAGTGATAATAATATTTTGTATTAATTTATTGTAATATTTTACTTATTAATTATGATCTATTTATTACATTAATTTGTTCTGTTTATTAAAAAGTAATTATGCAAATTATTGCCAGTCAGGTAATAGTGTTAAACATAATATAATATGAAATTCTGTGTTCATTAATTATTACCATGAATTTAATTATACATAAATAACATATTAATTCATAAGCTTTCTTTTCGTATTGCAAATAAATATAATAAATTTGGTATAATTTATTTAATTTTTCCTTTTTTTTTTTTTGATTATCTAAATAATTTGTTTTCAAAGTAATATTGTGTTTATATATTAATTAAGTGTATATGTTTAATACATAGACAAATGTTTTATTAATAATTAAATAATTTAAGGAAGAACCTCATCTGCAATATTTTTAAATTAAGATCTTAGTCAGATTTCGGGTAGCGTCTATCAAGGCTAATAAGCTAAATAAATATCACACTTGTGATCCAAATTTAAGTGTATGCTAAGCGGATATGCATACCTACTGCATTTCCCACAATTTCAAAATCATGGGTTAAATATGCGTCCACATAAGGTTTAAAAACATTCTAGTTAGGTCTTTGGAGGAAAAAAAACATTAGATAACTAGTGGGTGGAAGATAGTAATAAGTAACAATAAGATAAAAGAAAAGCCGATTCGATTAGAATATGAATTTCTTAAAAAAAAATAATCATACTACGTAACAGTAAATAAATAATACAGGGTGTTCCAGATAGCAGCCACATTTTGAAAATTCTATAACTTGTAACTTATTTAAAATTCGCACAAAAAAAAATAACACATACAATTGTGTTTAGGAGGTCCTGAGGTTACGTTGAATTGATGGCCTGTAGGGCGAGCAAGGGGCGGGGACACACATTTGGAGGGTAAGACCTAAGTTGATGAACTGAGGTTAATGGTTTTTTTGAGCAAGGATGTTGTATAATAATTTATTATTTAACACTAGTTTATTAGCATTTAAATTTTATTGCAAAAAATAATAAAAATATATGCAATATTACAATTTACAGAATTTTTATATTTTGCTGTATCTGTAAATAACTTTGTTTATGTTAATTAAATTTGTCATATTTTCTGTATATAATACTGGCAAATCTGTAAGACTGCCCCCTGTCTCATTGAACCCGTAAGTCAAATCATCATTTTTCTTAAAACAGAAAACGAACGTTTACAAGATGTAGATTTAATGGGAAGTGCGATAGCCACCAAAAATTGATTAATTATATTGAATAATAAATACCGTTGTCAACTCTGCATAAAGCTTTTGTTTTTTTTTAATTAACATTTCGATAAGCAGAGGTTTTAATACATTAACACGAAAAATATTAAAGGTGCTTATTTTAAAATTGAGGGTGCTAATACCCCCAAGCCCCTCCCTAATTGCGCCTATGAGTCCTACAGACTACAGAAATGGGGCAGGGTTTGGGATAAAATGTCTGAGAGTAAACGTAAAATTATATTTTATGTATTGCAAATTGCAACACCATTATTATTGTGCCGCTTGACAGATAATTGCTAAGTTTGAATAAAAACATTTATTATTACTTTTTGTATTTAATTTTATTAACGATAATGATTATTTTTATTATTATTATTTGACGGTAAAACAAAACACGTCGCTCCTATATATGTTAGTCGCATTTCGCCATAACCCGCTTACTGGGTTTTCAATTAATAATTCATTTCACCTTTATTTATTTATGTTATTTTAAACGTTAAACGGTTAAAATTATAGGGTGTGCGCGCGTTAATAATAATTATTATTTTAACTCCCTGCGGACAAGTAGGTAAACGTAGAGACGTCCTCGTAAATACTGTTCACCCGTCATAAACATTGGATATGAAAAATGTAAAAAGGAAAACACATAAAACAAGTACGTCCACCGATAATTACACGGTTTCTAGTCGTGGAGACCTTTCATTAGAATGTTTTTGCACGTTTAAAGGCGTCTATAAAAATATGTACGGTCGGGCTGCGATCAAAATATGTTTGCAACCGTAGACAACCGTATTACAATCGGTCAGTCATTACATTTTGTAGGATGAAAGTGCATACCAAAATCCCGGCGAGCTTAACTACTCGTTACGGTACAAAGAGAACACAACATAACTCAGTGTCTCCCTGCAGTGACGTTGTTCAGGAATTTAACGCAAAAGAATTCAACAACTATTTAAACAGGCGAGTACCACCTAAACTGTATAAATGTTATACAGTACTGTATATATATAGTGTATGAATATTATTTTCCATCCCTTACGAAAAAAAAAATGAATCAGAAGAAGAACATAGTAGACTCAGTTTTCTTGAAACCGTTCATTAAATGATCGCGACGTTAAAGAATAATAATATATAGTCTTAATTTTATGTTATGGCCAAATGTTTTTTTTTTTTTAATTTGGCCTTAATCGACTTATTAATAACATTCACCATTGATCAGTTATTTTGGACAAATTAACCATTCATTTAATTGTGCTCGTTGTGAAAACGTCATAATTTAAATCACATTTAGCAATCAATACTCTAGTACCGATGGAACCGAAAAAATGTACCAGGCAAAAGACTAATAATAAACTTATTTTTCTAATAAAAAAAATATGACGTTTCATTTCTAAAAAACTCGATTTGGCTCCCACATTAGTATGTAGTGAAAAAAGATAATTTTTAAAATGGTTTTCGTAATACCTTACAAAACTAGCGTCTTTTGGTGTATATAAACCTAAAGTAAAAAAAAATTTTTTTTTTAATAGTTCCCCCATCCCAAGTCAAAAAAACCAATATTCAGCAAAAGGTATATCTATAAGCTATAAGTAGGTAAGTGATGTATAATTTATTTGTTTTGATACATAATTATATCGCTCTGTTGCTCTACTTTGCATAATACTTGTTTTTTAATGTAATTTGTTTTACTCTCGTTTATATTTAAACTCGTTCTTCTACTAGATTTTTTTGTATTTTCTTAGATTGTCTGAAAGTCCCCGAGTAATACTACAACGTCAGCATATGCTAGTAACGTTCCATTTTCATTTAAATCCATTTCTCGAGATTTTCACACAACTTTTTCCAATGCCATATATTATATTGGATAGAATGGAAGATAATACATACCTTTGTCTTAAGTCGGCTTGGCTTTGAATTTCCTATATAAGTCAATACAGTGTTACGCTTGTTTAAAGCGTATGTATTACCTAAATTTACTTACGCTAAAAGGTTTATATAGTATACTTATTGGTTCATAACAAGTAACAACTTGAATTTTAGGACTGGAGTTCATTATTACATTCGGTATGTTCTCACGTTCGCATCCGTATTTGGTGTGTTTCCTGTGAGCGGTATTTACAAGAGGGACGTCTACAAACTGTCCTTTAGCTGGTTATCGCCAGTCACCATTTACTCAGTGTTGTTGTTCTGTGGATTCGCAGCCATAGAGATATTTTCACTTGACTACACCATAAGAAATCTAAATCAAGATAATCTCACCGCCAAAGGTACAGTACCCCAGCGACTTATAGAGACACCTGGCAAACGGTACATGTGGCCGGTGGATCGTGGATGTTATAATATATGTTACTGGAAAAAAACAGAGAAGTCGCTTTTATTTTAATCTTTAAGAAAAACGAATTGTATGCCATTTTAACAAAAGTGACTTCTGTTTTTTTCTTTGTAAGGGTAAGTATATTATGATAATGTTGGGTCACGACCTACCTGTTCGCAGGGGGAATAAAAAAAGCCACGTCGGGTAGCATATTCTACGGGAACGCTTGCTGTGCTCTGTGGATGTTCATTAAGTTGGCGAAAAAATGGCCAAAGCTGATGCAAGACTGGCGCTCCGTGGAAGTGTCTATGAAAAGATTTGGCGCACCTTTGCTCGGGTGGAAGTCGACCAACTTAGCCGTTGTCTTACTCACTTTGGCGTTCGGTTTGTAGTGCAAGTCTTGTAAATGTTTCTTCTCGTGGTTATAATAATCGTTTACAGCTGAACACGGTTTACACAATTGGCTGAACACAAGACCCGGGGGAAAGGACGACATAGCCGCTATGTCCCTGTTGGATCACGATGCCAACACGAGTTTCGTCTTGATCGACCAGTCTGTGAGTTCAGTCGACATGGTATATTTTTTTTTGTCAATGATTTTTATGTGTCATAACAATTTGGACCTACTGAAAAAAAAAGATAAACTTGACAATTTATTGAAAACATCTTTGCCAAACTTACAGGTGTCGTTCATAGGATATCTCGAACGGTTTTCGTTGAAAACCCACTGGTATCTGTATGACGATTATACCAGTTACAATCCTGTAAAAGGGTTTCTGGTGATGTGGCTAAGTCTATCGGCGACGTTCCTCTGGAACTTTACGGATCTATTTATCATGTTGGTCAGCTCAGCTCTGGCGGCTCAGTTCAAAAAGCTAACCAACGCTATGCTTAGTGTTAGAGGACAGGTAAATTTACCGAAACTATATCGATGGTAGATCTCTATGATACACATATAGTGTACATTTTTCGGAGAGAAAGGGCTTTTATTTAAAAATAATTTGTTTAAAATTTAACAGTTTTATAAGAAATGTATAGAATATGCCAAGGTCATTCGCCGAGTTACAAAAAACAAGACTGGGTCATTTCAGACCCAATGCATATCTATTTTTTTCACTTACATACGTCAGGCGGTTTATAGATTTGGCAGTTGTACACAGTACCATTATACATATATACATCCATTATATCATATTATATAGATACAGATGTCTGTACCTTGGATTCCTTTTATTAAATATTATGTACCTACCTATATTCTGCAGATGTTAACCATGTCACAATGGAGGGAATACCGCGAAACGTACACATCTCTTACTCATCTAGTAAAAAAAATTGACGATCACATAAATATTATAGTAGCGCTGTCAATAGGCAGCAATATCTACTTTATTTGCGCTCAGCTGATTACAGAAATCGAGTGAGTCATAATGTAGTTGACCAAATTAATTACTTAATTTTTAATTTTATTATCAGTTCCATTAAGCACAGCTACTTCAGAACGCTGTTCTACATGTATTCATTCCTGTTTCTGGTATTTCGAACAACTGCAGTCGTCATGCAAGCGTCTGCTATAAACGACGAGAGTAAAAAAATTGTTCCGGAAATATTCATGTGCCCAACACACAGTTACAGTATAGAAGTAAATTATTTATTTTATTTTATGAAAATTTCCATTTTAATTCTTTATAGTAGGAACATTGCCTTTCACAATCTTGTAAATAATGATTCGGTTTATTGCGAGTAAAAAAAAAAAATAGCATAATATAAAAAACAAAATATACATTTATTATTGTATAATTTAGAATCAAAGATACAGACTAAAATATTACAAATAAGTATATTTTACATTATTTTAATAATATTCCTTAATAATGCATAATTAAATATTAAACCAAAGAATTTTATAATAAAAAAAAAAAAACAAATGCCAAATTAAAACATCAAAGCTAAAAAATAATAAGTTACTATAGTTTTAATCGTATTATATATATATATATATATATATATAGTTTCTAATAATAAGCCAGTGGTAACTTATTATGCTTTTAGTGATGGTATAAGACAAATAAAACTAATCTATACGTTTATATTAAATAAGGTAAAAATAACTGAAAATAATTTCTGAAAAACTCTTTTTTTAGGTTATTTACTGTAAAATTAAAATTTTTAGCAAAATTATCAAAAATCTTTTAAAACAAAATAAATGTAATGATATTATATAAATAGTTTTATTTTCCCTAAGACCCAGCGGTTTCTACAAGAGGTGACTTCAGACTATGTAGCTCTAACCGGGCTAAAAATGTTTTCAATCACAAGGAATTTTCTTTTAGGTGTAAGTAAATCCTAAAGTCATATTGATATAAATAAAACAATTTTGCACCTTTATTTCTTTTAGGTTGCAGGAGCAATTTTAACCTATGAAATTGTGCTTATACAACTTCAAAATACAAAATAACGTATAAGTAGTACATAATTTGTTGTACACAAAACATACTTTTTTATATACTTTTATATCTGTAAATGTGAAACTATAAATAACTAATTAAATATAAGAAAAAAAAACAAATGTTTAAGTACTGTTAGATGTGGCTTCCTTGTTTTTGTTTTCTAACGATAAGTGATGACGAATTGATTTTAAATCTCTTATTAACATTGTTACAGTATTTGATAAGACTTCATGATCAATACTACCATTCACTTGGTCTTCTATGCCTGTAAACCGTAGTTGGTCGTAGTTATAATATCAATTTTATATTATAACAGTTGAATTAAAATTACCATTAACTTTTGATTCAAACAAACTGATTCTGGCTTCTAAATTATCAAAGCCTTCATTCATTTCGTCAAGCAAATTTTTTCGACACTCAGCTGTGTTGATAGGTTTTTCTGGCACTGGACCTCTTAACACTAAAACAATTATCAACAATACCTAATTAAATTATTACTAAAAAAAAAATCAACAATATAAGATACATTGAACACAATATTAAATTACATTCTTCGAGTTTATCAGGAGGAGGTTCATCGTTTCTATTTGAACTTTGATCAGACCACAAATACAATTTAGGATGATCCGGAGTTTGCCTATAAAGAAAAACATATTTAATTGGACAAAATCGTAAGTAATACAATATAATTAATATAGTATAATATAACTAATCTATATATATATATATATATATATAGGACTGAGACTGGGACCCTTGAGTAAGAGGATATAATAACCGAAAAAAGTGTCACAAAAACGCTGTCACGCTGTTATCTGATATATGATAAGATATTAGAGATGATGGATGGGGATGAAGGTGGGGGTGGGAATTATTTTACTCAGCCCTGGCAGACTAAATCTTGGGCAACGCCAAGTCCGGATAGCTTGTATAATATAAAATAATATAATATAAGAAATATAATCCTTAAAAAGTTTAAAATATACCCGTAAATGACAGTTTTAACAACCAGACTATGCAAATAGTCATTATGTTCAATGACTTCAGCAACTAACTGATGGGTTTGTTTTAAAATATTTTCATCTTTTTTTCTTCGTTCATCTTTATGTTGTAGAACACTAGGAGAGAAATAAATAAATGTAAATAATAATACTTTTAAATATAAATTGTATAACATGCACTAAATCTTACGTAGCAATTTTTCCTTCTTTTCTCCAATCTTGTAAATAATCGTATTGCTTAGAGCGTCTTTTCTTCGAAGGATTCAGGCAACTAAAGCAAATATAATTATCTGGAACTTGATCTTCAGAATCAATTTTATTACAAAAACCATGTTGCCAACATAGACAAACATCACACTAATAAAAAATACATATATATTAGAACGACTCAAACAAATTTTGTTTTTGTTTACTAATAATAATCTTTAAGGTTAAAGAAAAGAAATGTCAACATTTGGAGATTGGATAATATTTAGGTGACTCAAAGTTATTTTGTCTTAACTGTTTGATTAAAACGTGCAAAAATGATATATTTTTTTCTTATGACTATATCTTTTTGAATTTGAAGTTAATATTTGGAATGAGCTCATTGGACAAATTATGAAAAAAACTTCAAAAAAGTATTTGGGAAAAATATTTGATCACTACCTAAAAGTTCATTTAAAAATAAAAATTCTGTTTTTTTTTCATGTTAAGAAATAATTTAGCCAACAAATCAGTAATAAATCTAACATTTTTCTCATGAACTTTTTTCAAAGTTTTTTTTGTGATCTTTCTAGAGAGCCTACTCCAAATATTATAGCTTCATAATTGAAAAATATATAGTCAAAAGAAAAAAACATATCATTAATCAAATGAACAAAACAATTTAGTCACATCTAAATATTGTCTGATCAAGTAATAAAATAAAGATTACTCAAGTAAACAAAAAAAAAAATTGCATATGATATATAGTATTGATAAAGTTGATTAAATCTTATACTTGAATCATTAAACCGTCTTCTTGATTCGATCCACAAGAACAATTTATAACTTCTTCTTTACGTAAAGATTCAATTTCAGATTTATTTTTTTTAATTTTATAATGACGATCTGAAGTCATACTTATGGTATCACAGCTGTCTGCAACAATAAAACAATTGTAAATAGATAATTGCATATTATTGCAAAAATAATTGTAAAATAGGTCTTTAGTACAAATTAGTGCGATTAGTGTAGTTCTATGGCATTTAACGGTGCTTCATCGTGATGATGCTTATGGGCGTTAATGAAAAAGGAGTTTGATAGAAGATATGTATAATGGTTCAAATATGAGTGTCAAAAGTATGTGTGAAGTAACAGAAGATTTTAGGGATAGAGTAGGTGTGCACTAGGGTTCTGCTTTGAGCCCTTATTACTTGTTTTCTGTTTTAACAGATGAAGTTAAGAAGGAAATACAGAATGAGGTATCATGGTGCATTATGTTTGCAGATAATATTTTTGGTAGGGGAAAATATGAAAGAAGTTTAGCATAGGTTTGAGGAGTGGAGAATAGCATTTAAAGGGACTTAGAATTATTATTTAATATTATAACTAAAACAGAATATATAGAGTATGGGTAAGGAGGAAGAAGACAAGAGGAAAGAAGTGGAGAGAAGCATCAAGTATTTTATGTGACGAGAAATTAGAATGAAACTATTAGTGTAGTGAGACCGACTATATTGTAGAATGTTTGGCGGTACAGAGGAAAATAGAACAGTGAAATGATAGGATAAAGAATGAATACGTAAGAAGTAATTATGCTTTGATAACGGATAAAATAAGAGAAAATAGACCGAGATGGTTTGAGGATTGTTATGAGGAGAAAGGAGTAGAATTCAGTAAAGGTAATGAAAATAAACATAGGAGGAAAGAGGAGATGAGACCGAAAAAAAGGTGGCTGGACGCAATTAAGAATGATATGGGGACTGCTGGTGAACATAAAGATGATGTAGGAGATTGTTTGGATTGGCGGTTTAAGATAAGGGTGGCTAAGCTGACCCTGTATAGTTGGGATAAAGGCATAGGAGAAAACTATATTGTGTTGTACATTGTTTGTTAGAACATGTCGTATAGCTTACCGCGAGTTTCGTTTTCATAAGTATCCGCCACAGGTATTTTCTTAATAATTGGTTCTTTAACTAAAGCAGACTCTTTATTAAATGTTTCGGATAACAATCTTCCCAATTCAATTGTGTCAGTAGAGAAACCAGAATCCCTAATAAATTAAAAAAAATAATACCAATTAAGATGTTATTGTTAACATGCATTCTATTCTTACTTTGATTCGTACGACTGAGTCACATTTTCTACTTTATCATTGGAGACATAAGATGAATTCAAATTTTCTGATTGGAATGATACATTGTCCAATTCTAGTCTAATATAATAAAATATTATAGTTAATAATTTAAAAATATAAATGTTTATGTTTTTTTTGTTATTGCAATTTCTAAATTTTTTTAAACTAGTGGTTTTTTATAGAAATCTCTATACGTAAGTTTTCCTAAAACTAAAAACTGAACACCCTCATGACACGTGCTAATTTCTATTTTTTTTTTTGTAGTACAGGTTTGGATTTATATTCTTATTCATCATAGTGCTTATTGTACATACTATGTGTGGACTGTTTATTTCAAATAAAAAGAAAAGAAGAATTTTTTATTTTAAATAGTCTGTTGTTTGACCCTAATTAACCAACATCTAGTTACTTGTTTCAAGTTAAAATTTGAGGTGGAACAATATACAGACAATGTTTTGAATTTAATTTTAAATTTGTTATTTGATTCTTGGTAGTAAAACCTTGTAAAAAAAAAAAAAAAAAAAAAATACAAAACACTAACTCTGGAAATTTTAATGTTGAAGGTGGCGTCATATTGATTGATGGTGATTCACAAGGTGTATTCCCAACTGTTTTCTTTGCTTCTAGTTGAGATATTCTGTGTAGGAAATAAGATGGCGATAAATCATCAACATTTTCACCTTCAATTCTAGCCGTTGCGAGATCAGTTACATTTGGTGTAGAGACTAAAAGGTCAGTGTACTCCGAATGATAATGCTTGATGTGCATCTAAAAATTACAATAACAAATGAAAAAAAAAAAAATTGGAACACATTTTTTTCAAATAAAAACTTATCTACTGAGTACAGACCATTAATAAATTTTCTTTACGGAACAATTTACTGCACTCCTGTTTAGGACATCTGAACCCTTGTTTGTTGGATGACTCCAATCTTACTATAATAAAAATAAAATTATATAAGCATTTTAGAAAACCCATCATACGATAATTTTTTTTTTATGAAACAATGTGTCAATTGAAAATATAATTTATGTGGCCATAGACAAAAACAAGTTTTCAATAATGAAAATACAACAGTCAATAATTCCCAATTGGAACATTTATTTCAGCCTAGTTCAGAAATGTCTGATGAATTGTGTCTTGCCACTGATATTACTGTCCGACAGAAATGTTTTAAGCCTTTCATGCATTTTTATTTCATACAGTTATTTGACTATCAAAGTGACATAGTGACAGCTTTAGTAATTTAATAATTACAAAGATACAATAAATGTTTATAAGCCAGTAATATGAGGTTGGGGCACAGTGGGTCACAGGTTTACAGGAATTATTACAACTGAAAGTTATAAAATCACTTTCAAATAAACGCTTTGATGCGAATCAGTAGTATGAACCAGCCCAGCAAGAAAGTATTAAAGTGAGGCGCAGTGTTTAAAAATTAGCATTAAAGCATTTATTTGAAAGTGATTTTATCACTTTTATTAATAATAAAGTCCTGTAGACCTGTGACCTATCCGCCCCTACTATGCTCTGAATCAACTGTGCCCCAACCCCACTATGCTCTAAAATTCCTCTATGCCCTGACCCCGCTATACTGGATTATTTTCTTCGTTTTATATGCTATGTATACATTAGAGTTCCAACTTCAGACAAATTTTTAACTAAACAGTCCTAAAATTACGGCTAAAAAACAAAAACCTTGCACCCCCCCGCGGAGGGGGGAATAGGTATAATTTAAATTTGAGACTATTAACGTATAGGGGCATACCAAATAAATATTTCTTGTAAATTTCAACAATTTTTCTCAAAGTAAAAACTTTAAAACTCATATGGTTTTTTTTTTGTTTTTTCAAATTTGAACCGTAAAGAAATGAACTTTTTCAACTTTTACCCCCTAAAGTACTAACTAGATGAAATTTGTGAATTATAGAGTTGCTACTCGATAGAATTGGTCCAGTATTAAAAAAATTACAATGTATACAGACACAAAAAAAGCCCACATTATTGTAAAACCAATATCATCGAAGCTTAAATTATATTTATTACTTTTTTGCAATATCATATTGTTGGCTAATTGACTAAATGTTGTAGGTGTTTGAGGACTTCGTTCTTCTACTGAATCCTTGATAGGCAACGAGAGCTTCAATTTCTTTGCTGGAGGAGTTGAGTGGTTTACATTTTTTGATTTATGTGGAGTAGAAGTATTTTTTCTTCTGTAATGGTTAAATAATTATTTTGAATTAATTAATTATTTTGAACTTTGAATTTTATTCAAGTAATTTGTTTTAAAAATCGTGACAACAATATTTATTTAAAATAATGAAGTCTGGTAGAGGTAGCTGATATGTACTAAATCCGCCCTCTCATTTAAACGCGATAATATTGTATATATAAAAAAAAAGGACACGACTTTATTATAAAAATCAAGAAATCAATTAAAGTTTGAGAGTTTTTTTTTTACTTACTTTATTCTGTGAGGATTTAGTTTAACAACTAGCAAATTTTTTTTATTTTCAATACTTTTTGATAAACATGGTCTTTTTTCGGGTCGTTTTCTTTGTCCAAAAAATTTTTTCCCTTAAAAATAATATAAAACAATAAATACAAGTTAAGATAAATAAAAAACTGGACTAAACTATGTTTCAATCGTTTATACACATATAAGTATAAATACAAGGCAATGGGAAGGGAAGTGCAGTTGAGTAATGTGCGCAGATAAAAATAATAATACTGCACTCCACCATTTAATTTTGTAGTATTTATAAAATAACATTAATTAAAATTAAATGTGTTTTTAAAAAGGAAAACTATGAAATTGTTAAGGTATTTAGAATAATAGCTAGTAATATTTAAATACACAGTAATACTTAAAAATACCTTGTCATTACGACTACAATAATAGTAAAAACAGTGTTACATATACTGCTATGTGTAATTAATAATTACTTTTCTTTTTTTGTTTGTCAATGCCTCGTATGGATGATTTTGTGGGAGAACAAATTTCTGCTTCTGCTTCTATATCCTCCAGTAATTCTTCAAAGTTATCAGATTTTGGTAAGTTACTTGTTTCGTCAATAGGTTTTTCAATTAGAGGCAAATCTTTTGAAAGAGCTAAGCATAGGATAAGATTAATACATTTTTAGTCATCATCAATTTAATTAATTATTTGTTTTAATTACAATCATTATTTGTTCCAGGTCTTATCATTTTAGAATTGTCTGAATCTTGTAAGAACATTTTTGAATCTTTCTAAAAAAAATAAAGAAAATAAATTAGAATAAAATTAAATTTTTACTAGTCGCGTGCTTAAATTTAGTGTGACTAAGGTAAATTTTTACCCTGAGCGACTGATAGAGGGTATTAATAAGGTCATTAATATATTTTATGTTAGGTTATTCATTTAAACACAATTAAAAAAAAAAAAAATAATAATTTCCTAAAAATTAAATTGTATAATATATCTAATAAATATGAGTAAGGCTAATTTATAGCGTGCAGTGTAGGAATAGTTATGTTATTTTATTCTTCATGAGATGTATTTTTTTAATTAGTAGCCATCATGCCTTTGTCTACTTTGACACACCACGTTTATGCTTACGATATACATACATACAGACAAGTCAGTTGGTAGTGAACACTGCGGCAATTTCAACTACATTTTAATATTGATTAACTTATTCAAAAAATCACTACACCCAAAAAGGATTGTAGGAACACTAGAAAACAGATGAATGTTTCTAATAAAAAAATTAATGATTCATTTTTAATAATTAACGTTGTATTACTTATTTCAAAAAAGGTTTATTCCTGCCTCGCAACCTGTATATTATATTGTTGTTAGGTATCGTTGAAAAAAACAATGTTTTCCTCAAACGTATTATTTGGTAGAGTTGTGTTTTGTTTTTTTTATTAAGACTGCTAAAAATAAACAGTGTTGCAAGTATTAAGTACTATTAAGTACTAAGTTTAAACTAAGTTGCAAGTTTCTATACTGAAAATACAGTACAGATTAGGTATAAAAAACCATCAAGTATAAGATTGTTAAAATTTTAAATAGTTAAAAAAATCTTTCCAGATTGTTTTTGTCTATCTAGAGAAAAACAGCTAGTAACCTAGTAAGTTTCAAAGTGCCAATAGTTTGTAAAAAAGTACTGCCGCATTATCCCAATTTGCCACTTCATCTAACATTCATAAACAATGATGTAATTAAGTACTTACTGTAGAATTAGTTGACAACTGCTGTTTAGGATTGTTCCCAGATATTTTTTTAATATCTCTTGATGTTTTTGATTCTTTGTGTTTTGTATCTAGAAAACATACAACAGATACAAAATTATTGTTTGGATATTTTTAAGCATAATATTATAAGTTTTAATAAAATTGTTATATTAGTTAGTTTTATATAAATAAAAATTAGATGAATAAAAATTGATTTTACATAAACTGTTTAATAATTTAAATTTTAATAAATTAGTAAGTTTAATAAATATTGTTAAAACATGCAACTTAAAAATCCATATAAAATACCAAACTAAAGACAATCTACCAACAGACTTGGAAAAACTTTTAGGGAAAGACCCGATTGAAAACAACTATTTCAACTTTATACAAGTAACTAAACTTAACGACTATCTAGAATTCCAGCACAATTATACCTTAATCCCTTATTTAACTTATTATTCAATGTAACTGTATTTGTTTTATATGGCAATTGACATAATTCTAGTTTATTCCACTGAAAATTCCTAGTTGATTTTTTTTAAATGATATTCTGTGCTTTTAAGAAAATAGCAAAAATTTGAGCTTTAATCAAATTATAAACAGGTCTTTGACCAGAAAAAAAATTGAGCCAAAATGTTTTAAAGCGCAAAAAAAAACCGTAATTAAATTAAAAATAATAAAAATTATTACATTCTTTTACAGTTAGTAAAAGAAATTATGTTATTATGACAAAATAAATGTATGCTATGTTATACATACATTCCCTGTCAAAAATACGAAAAATACCCACAAAATGTATAATGTATTATTATGTATATATATATATATATATATATATATATATATATTATACGTCAACTTAAAACTATGGTGTACTATAAATTCTTTAAAACTAATCTAATTAATTTTAAATTTGAATGGAATATTCTTTGCATATAATTCTATTGATAACATAAAAAAACAAAAAATATCAAAAAGTTTTTCCCTTAGAAAAGGTGCTTTAGTTTAGACTTATACCCCCTTTATTTATTAAGGTTTTAAGGTATAGGTAATTTTTTTGTAAAACCCTAATAAAAAGCTAAATATGTAGTATGTAATTAGAAATTCAGTAATTAGGACTGTTTTTTGATATTCAATTTTTTTTTTACTACCAGCAACCTTGCCCGTAATTTTAAATATATTTTTGTCTAAACCTAGCTACCCAGAATGCATTTTACTCGGTTAATGGTGGTAGAACTAAACCACCTATTATGAAATAGAATGATGATAATATTTTAGAGACAATGATATACCTTTTTTTATTATGTTCATTATTTATCTTAGTACTTGTTGTTAAAGTTTTTATTTTTTTCAAAACAGTGATAACTTTTTTCTAATAAATATTCAAAATGAGAGATCTTGAGGTCTTTAAAGGGGCTATAACATAAACCATTTTTTATTAAGGAATATTATAGACAGACGATCAACCCTAATTATATCTAGCATAATACTAAAAATATAATTTCATTACAACAAATTGTATTGATAATTATTACTTTTACTGTCTACAGATTCACATCAAAGTTTTTTATTTAAGAGTGATCTCATCAATTTCATACTTTTTTGTTTTTAATAAACTTTTTTTTTTAAATAAATAAATGAATATAAGTAGAGGCCCCTTAATGGTGTAATCGTGGTATTTAATACCCGTTAATAACACTTAAATTAAAATATCAATGTTTAACATTTTCAAAAACCCTTTAATAATTGTCAACTTGTAAATCTAGAAAAACCCAAAAAAATATTTCAATTTTAAGTAGTTACGGTATATAGTAAATTTTCAAACTAAAATATTAAGTTAAATAAAAAATTATAATTTTTACACCTAGTATAATACCTTATAGCTCTGACAGTAGAATAGAAAAAATAAAATTAAGTACAAATTTTAAAAGAGCTACCTCTACTCTATTAATAGCAAATAAATAATGTAACTGAGCTGTTTGAACTTATCAATTGTTTGGCAAGTCACCAAAAAAGCATGTAGTTTTTAGTTGAATAGGTATTCTTAAGTTACTTTTTTTTGTATAGTAGTACGAAGCACATACTTGGTATATATTAATAGAAGAAATTATATTATAAATATACTTAAGAATATTAGTTTAAGTAGACTTAGTACAGTTTTTATAAAATAGTGTTGCTTAACATGACACTAAAAATATGCACATAAGATAATTTCAGAGGTGTAAGTAGCTGTAGAGTTTATCAGTGGAGAAGTGTAGGTCTTTAGGTCGAGATGTTAAAAAAAAAATAGCACTACGCTTTTATTTTCTTTCATAAAAGTAGTTTTGAATGCCATCTTTTAAAATCTGACTAATGAAATCATTATTATGTTCAATATTATTTACACTCTTATTTAATTTATTTATGAACTTGAAAGATCTTGAAGTAATTAATTACAAACCAGGCAATAACATAACAGAATGAAACAAACTATGATAACTATAATAACGATTACTTTAAAATAAAATAAAACAAAAATTAAAAACGGGGAGACACATCTCATAGCGCAACATTTCTCCCTCTCCTGTTTTCCAATTTCCCTTGAACACTACGTGCGACAAAATGAGATATTTTCTCATATATACTCTTATACAGTAACAAAATATTTGCTGCCTACTGTATTGGCCTGCTGGATATCGCAAGCGTGTGCCCGCAACAACACTATTCTAAAAACAAAGAAAAAGGGGTTTGAAAAAAAAAAATATATATATATATATATATTTTGTTTTTCATTCAAATATGTAATTTTAATATAATAATACTAAATTATTCGTCTATTTTTTAGGTGGGTAGACATTGTTTCATTGTGTCCTATGATGCTTAGCTACTTGGGTTTATGCTGTGTGCTATATGTATGAGTGTACTCGTAACAAAAATTATGTACCTGCAGATAGAGTAGAAGATTTTTTGTCATGAGGACACGCATACAAAGAAGAGTTGTAGGAACACCAATAGATATATATACAAATGATTAGTGTAAAGGCATTAAATATCTGTTTATCTTATAGTAAATAAAAAATAAAAAATTGACAAGTCTTCAAATTTGTAAGTGCAATGCGTAATGGTAAAGGAATTTAACAAAAAGTATATACTTGCTATTACATGATACCGCCCATAGTATACTTACTGTTCACAGTATTGTCACTAGTGTCATTATTTCTAATTGATCTAAGGCTATTAGGTAGAGTAATATGATCTTACTATCAATACTCTTATCAATTAGTAATTTGTTCTAAAACACTCCCAGAAAAAGTATTTTACCACTTGTACCACAACAAACTTAAGTTACGATTATTCCAAAAATCTAACTAAATGATTGAGATTATAAGCATAGGTACAGTTTTTTCACTACTTCATATTATCTGAGTACTAATATCTAATTCACAACACTTATCTTGTAACTTTTATGTACCGTGATAATATAGAAAAATACAATATTCTTGGGGGTTAATCATAAAATATTATTTGATGAAATTGTAGTCAATTGATAAAATATTTGAAAAAGTTTTTTCAACATACACTGTAATCATCATGTGACATCCTAACCAAATATAATATTCTTTTACAGAGATTCCAAACTGATCCTTTTCACACAACTTGTTCACTAATTTCGACATTTTACTCTTGTTTAAATTTTTAAAAAAACTATAATAATATACTGTAAAATATTTTTGTTAAATATACATTCTTATATATGACCAGTATGCCTATCATAATAAAAAACATTATCCTATTATTTTTGTTTTACACATTCATTTCAGGAGTTTAACCCTACCTTTTTTTGTTTTAGTAGCATCTTTTTTAAATTTCACTTTGAATACGCCAGCAGACTTAGATCCAGTTGAAAGTTTTTTTACAACTTCTTTTTCAATTGGGGTTTCAATTGGCTTTATTTCAGATACAGCAATTTGTTGAGTCTCACTAAAAATATTTTAGTAATTATTTTAAACATTTTATTAGTTCAGTTGCATAACTACAAGTTACATATCAATACTACATTTTTATTAATTAATAAAAAATTATACTACCTGGGATTTTTATTTAATTCCCATTCTTTATTCATTGGCCAAATTCGATGACTGTCTTTATTAATCCATTCGTTTGCACAGTTACCATTAGTGTATGATATAAAAATTTCATCTCCATCATCTTCTTCTACTACAGCTGGCACCCTAAAAAAACAAATTATTCACAATTACAATGACTATGTTAATTAACCATAATTGTTAAATTTTAATTCATAATGTAACAACTAATATTTCTTAATATTCAGATTAAATTCATATGTTATGAAGTGAACAGTAAAGATAAATCAGTCATGAATATTATAAAACATTATAGTATAACCATAACAAAATAAATGGGTATACATTTTTCATTTTTATAACTTTCTTATTTTGTTTCGGTTTGTTTTCTAAACTTAAATTTTATATATATTTCATGTAGCGGCAAACCAGACACTTGATGGGTATGTGTATCACTGGGTATGTTGTGATCATAACTCATGTCTCATACCTATCTTTTTACTTACGTCATTGGTTTTATTATGTCGACTTCTAATTATTTTAAACTAAAAACATATGTCATTCTAGACAGCCCCTATTTTAGTAAAAAAATCAGACTTAAACCCAAACTGAATAAAATATGAACCGATTTGATAATTGTTTTATTAATACGGTTACGTCATGACTGTTCTCGAAGATAATCAATACATTTTAATTAAAATTTAACTTAACGTGTATTAAAAATTACATATGCTTACCAATCATTGCCAGGAGACTGAATTAAAAGTTTAGTTCCGATGTCGTAATCCATTGATACACTTTAAATAAAAACGTACTAGGCGATAATATACACTAATTAATACAAAAGAAATAAAGATTTTTCGTAATACAACGTTTATTTTAATGTTAGCGGCTTTTACTAACAAGAACGCTTTATCGACGATTAAAATTACCAATTACTATTACTATATAAGTAAGATGATAATAATTAATATACAGTATACAATAATATAATATAGATAAAAATGTGGTTAACTAAAAAAACCAAGTAAAGTTAATGCGAAATAACTGATAAAGAACCCTAACAACCAAAGACGTTACAAAGAATGTTGTGTATTGGGCGCCATTTGTTTGCTTGTATTTACCAGTCGCGTCAGAGGTTGTCCCCGTCCCGCTGTTGCCTGTTTAGTGTTTATGGTAGCATCAAATAAATAAATCTAGTTCACGTTCTTCCCATAGATATTAAAAACATGGTTTTTATTATCTATGCTCTATGATTCCTCCAGAACATAGTAAACGATATATATATATATATCTATGTTCATACTGACTACTGTACACACTACCATGATTATTTAATTAAGCATAAATAAACGGTTAATTAAATCAGTTCAGAGACTTTGTTAAGAACAATTTAAACCTCAATTGCATTTAGACAACACTTGTATGTAATTCCTAATTATGTCGTCTTTTGTAATAGAAGTTTATTTTTTGTTTGTTAACGTAATCATTATACATTCTGTCCCAGAAAAAAAATTGTTTTTTGCAAGTTGCAACCCCTGAATCGTTTTTATTTGTCGAAAATAATGAAATATTTAAAATTTCAGCCTTCTAGGACGATTCTAAGCGGTTCATATAGAGACGCTATCATTTTTTTCCTCGTTTGATTAATACATAAAAAATATTTTTTTATTAAAATCGTTATAACTCATAAATATTTTTTAAATTTAAAAAAGATTCTAAAAACTGATACTTTTACGCTAAGAAATACTAGACATTTGATCTTGTTAATTTTCATTGGTAGCTCTCAAAATCTAAATTAAAAAAAAAGATTTATAAGTTTTGAAGGTTGTAACCTCATGTCAATAATGTAACCTTACATTTACTGTTTAATTGTTGAGCCAAATATTTTATAATAATAATAAAGGCTATATATATATATATATATATTAAAAAAAAAAAGTTTTGAAGTTATGACAATTTGATTACAAATTTATTTTTTATGTTTTTATCAAGTGGGGAAAAATATGGCTCTATAGGAACCACTTAGAATTGTCCTAGAAGGCGGAAATTTTAAATATTTCTTCTTTTTAAAAAAAAAAAACAAATCAAAGGTAGAAAAAAAATATTATTTTTGAATCAGTCCAATGTTATGTACATTCATAACAATTACTATATAATAACAAATCTATGTCAAAATATTTGACGACAAAAAAAATGTATTGTATTGGTCAATATAATAAGATGCAATACAAACGGATATCAGGGAATAATAACAAAACACTATAATTAATAAAAAAAGAACCAATTATTGTATTTTATTATACGTCAACAAAGTACACAATACTGTGAAACGAATCAAAAGAGTAACTTGTGGTACGCTTAACAGCTATTACATAGAAAATGTACCCAAGTAAATGTGTTATGATAAAAAAAAAATTATTGATGAATATGTACGTCAATAAAATAATAACTATAGGTCAAAAATAACAAAAAGAAAAAAAAATCATATTTACAATAATTTAACAATTTATCTAAAACAATAAGGTATTTAGGAAGTTCTTTGATTGAAAAAAAAAAAAAAAAAACAAAATATGAACGTAAATAAATAATAATGAAAAGTGAACAACTTGTTTAAAAATGTACCTAATTTAGATCAAAATATTAGTTTTTCTTTTAACAGTTATTGGACATTATTACCATGGTAACACACATCATGTAATATTTTATGATGAGAACTTGATTATATATTATATTATATAATAATACAAAAAATACATGAATATAAAGGCACAGATATGCTACGCAATTTTAATGCAAAATGTTTCTGTTTGCTGACACATAAACACATTTATTATTAATATGTGTGTATATATAAAAAAAATACAAGACAATTCATAACATTAATTTTATTATAAATTAAACTTGGTCTTTGACTAGCTTAATTTGCCAATGTAATGAATCAAATTGAATATTCTATTTGAAAATAAAGCATTTAATTACTTTGATCAAGGATATTTTCACGTTTAGTTTTAATAAATTATACATGGATAAACAAAAGGTTTTTTTTTTACAGTATTACAAGACACATAATTAAATATAAAGAACTTTTTTTTCATAAGACACATTAAGTAATTGGATACATGTCTATGTAAATATTATAAATATTTCTTTTTACAGTTTAATTAAAAAGTTACTTTTTATTATATACAATATTAAGACTTGAAATGTCTTTATCACAAAGTCTAGTAGAAAAAAATATCCCTGTCAGTCAATTATCACGTATGGTAGTATGACAAGCGGTTCACCAGTATCATTTGTCCTAGTCAAGACCTCATGCCACTCTCTAAAATTTTCGTTTTCCCAATTACCAGTAATGCCTTCGATTTGAGCTCCATCGATTAAATCAGTGGGTGATGGAGGCAATCGTGTCGGCGATGGGGTTGGGGAACTCCAGTCTATAGTGCCTAAATCCAGCGGAGGTAACCTGTTATATATTTCCTGTATTTGGCGATCAATATCCGCAACATTTGGTCGACTAGCCTTGTCAACCTGTGTTGTAGACAGCTCGTCTTGGAACTCTTGCACAGGCGTCTGTGGTTTTTCCTCTAACTGATAATTCTCGTCATCTTTTCGCAATGACGCAATTATTTCTTGAGTGGTTTTGAGTTTACTGGATCCAATGGTTACCATTCTCTCTAAATCTACAGGGTTAGAAGTTTTGATTCCTAATTTTGAGGAATTCTTACCTCCTTTTTTCCGACCACGCTTTTTGGGAACTGGAGGATCTTGAGCGGGTTCTGGGTCCTGTTCGAGCTCATTGACTGGACTAGTTATAGGTTCTGGTGATTTTTTAACAGGTGGAGACGTGATGGTTGAGCTCTGAGTGGATATTCCATTTAGTTTTGGTTTCTAAATTACAAACGTATTTAACAAAAAAATTTAATTTTCCAAGTCAAGAAAACAAGTTCATACTTTTAGAGGTGCTGTACATTGATCTGGCGAAGTGATTGGTCTTTTATAACAATTATTAAGCATGCCATTGGATTGCGAGGAAGGCGGCAGCTTTGCCTGTTGTATGGCTTCCGCTTTATTTATCATCAAGTTACGCCATCGTTGTACAAGTTCTTTTGCACGTTTAGCCAATTGTTTGTCCACAGTTTTACGTCGCAATTCATTGACCATTTTACCAATCCGAGTTGCCTAGAATCAACAATTACACAATAATAATAACAAAATAAAAATTAACAACCAATATATTGATATATACCTCAAGCACCTCGGTGGTAACTGAAAGTTGTTCAAGGGTTGAAATGACTTCAAACACTGTAGACATGTCGGTAACCTATATCACAAAAATTTTTTTTTTTAATATTGCTTTTATATTGACTGGTTAGGTGCAATTATGGACTATAGTACACCATTACAAGAAAAAATGTTTACTATTGGCATTATTTGTCTAAAGCTAAAAAAAAAACTAAGAATCAAGAGTACAAAAATTATTTAATTAATAAATTTAATGCATTGTAGTACGAACATTTTATTTTAAGCCTCGACGCAATAGCGAGAAGGAATCTGTTTTTAAATTCAATAGACACATATAATTTAAGATTTTTATCCCCATAAACTGTATGTTTAAATAAAAATAAGTTGAATGTATAAGAAATTCAACCAAAATAAAAAGCCAAAAAAAGTACAAGAAATAATAATCAAAATTAAAGTGTGAACGTTGACAAATGGAAAGGTCCATAGAAAGTTAGTATTAAGATATTATTATTTAATGGAAATGTGTTTAATTATTGACAAATATTTAAAATATGTATTAAAAAAAAACATTAATGTTAAAAAACTGGAATGTCTGGGAAATAATTAATTTTTCTTATAAATTTGATTTTAGATAACTTATATACTTAGTTGAGTTGTAGTTCTATCAAAAGTATAACAAAAAAAAAAACCATAATCTAATACTACAGCTATACATTGTCATATATTATTGGATTATAATAATAATGCATATAGCGTATTGACCGGGAGTGGCTATGGCTAACTTTATGCCAGTTCGGTCGCCGGGTTGCATGGCATTTCAGCCATGCATCCGAGGTTGATAGTGTAGGTCGCTGCTAAAAATCCCGGGTGGTCACCCATCCGGGATCAAGCAGCAACGGACACAGATTAACCTCAAGTGCCATGTGGCATCTGAGATGTCCACTGCGCCACACCTCCCGCTTTATTGGATTAATTTTAAAATATAGAATACATATATTTTTAAAGAATGACCTTGCTATAACTAAGACCAATTAAAACCTTAAATACACTTTATTTATGAATAAGAATAATAATAATTTATCGGTAAAAAAAATAACTTTTTTAAATTCTAGATTTCAACAGAAAAGTTTTTCAGATAATAAATTGTTAAAACACCAAATTTGTAAATAAATCATTTCTCTTAACATCATAAAATATATTAATTTAAACAACTTATTTTCTCGGAGATAATATTTAAAATCATAAAAAAACACACTCAACCTATTGTATTTTTTCCAAGGAAAATACAGATTTACCTTTATTTGAAAAATTCAAACTATTTATACAAAATTGACCTTTGGGAAATATTTCAATGTCAAGATGAGTGGAGAAGTAAATAGTAATAGAGTACATTATAATATATAGAAGTACAATTACTAGTAATTATAACATAATCCACCGTCTACTGCTTTCATCATGTATAACATTTAGAATTATTATTATCCAAAATTAATATCAACAAGCGATTATTTTCTTATGTCAACAGCTCTTTTGAATTATAAAAAAAAATTAATGTATAAATTCCAGATATTAAAATAAAATAGTAGGTTTATTTTTTTATTTATTCCTTAAAAGTAATTGTTTGCAAGAACTTTTTTAATAAAAAATGTAATCCTTCTAAAATAATTTGTCAACATTAATTAATTTTGTTTATTGATATTTATATATTTTTCACATTTTGTTGTTTTAAAGATATTTGAACAAAAGGTATTATATTATTATAGCAGATCACCATATTTTAGTAAATAGTAGGTAGACAATGCCATACTTCTTCAAAATTACAGAGTACACATAGTATTGTAAGCACATATGTTAAGAATTTCATTGAACAATATAGGCTGTTTTCTTAACAACTTGAAATTTCCTTAAATTTAGTTTCGACGTTGTTTTAAAATTTAACATGATTTTTTTATAAAATAGTAACAAAATGGAAAAAAATGTAATATTGGATGTTTGAAATAAACATCTTAAGTAGAATAATTATAAGTTTAAAGTTAAAATTTGATTTGGTGATTACCTATTTACAATTAATACAATTTTTTTTTTTAATAAAATTATAATTTTTTTATAAATTGAATCTAAAGAATTTCAATTTTTTTTTTATAACTACGTTATTTAAATAGGCAACATTACTACGTAAGCCTATTAAGAAGTGCATTATTTTTCTTTAAACAATTCTTTAAATTGTGAATGTACTAAGCAAAAACAGGCAATGAAGGATAGGAAATATTGGAATGGAAAAAATTAAATAACAACCTTAAAACTTGTTTAAAATTTGTATACAAATTAAAACACCCCAAGTTATACTTGGATTAATATTTAATCATAAATAAATAATTGTAAAAATAGACATAATATCTCAAAATGTGTGATCGACAAAAAATAAATTATATTAGATGTTTTGTTATTTTTGTTTGTTTAATTATTTGTAGTTTCCTTGACCTATAATGATCTAGATTAAGAATGTTTAAACTATAAATACAGTACGCACATAAAAGTATAGGATATGTTAAGTCCTAACAGTTATCTTTTTCATTTTGAACAATAGTAATGAGTATTTAAAAGAAGAAACAGAAAATAAATGGAAAACATGTTGTACTCATAAATTACAAGTAGGCAATTAATATAATTTTATTATTATTACTGTAAGTAAAAATTGTTAAAACAAAAAGTACATAAATAGTATAATACATATTATATTAATATAAAATATAATTTAAATAAAAATAGAAAACACATTTAACTAGAAATGATGTAACTAATAAACAAATTAAATATAATTTAATGCATTATACTGTTTAAAATGTCAATTTAACTTGTACTAAGGTAGGAAATGCAAGAAACAAGACACAAATCAGTTAAGAAGTTTTAAGTGTTATGTTATTTTTTGTAAAACTAAAGGGAATACTTTTTTGGTTTATAGTTTCTTCCTAACCACAATGAATTGTTGACATACAAAAAACAGAAATAATACAAATTATGTATGTAGACATAAACTAGGCAATACTATTTAATTTTAGGTATTTCAATATATCCTAACAATTATACAAAATATACATTTCAAAAACAATTAGTGTAAGAAAAATAATTATTTTCTTATACTGTAAATAATGTTTTAATGCGACTCAAGTGGGATTGTAGTAGTATATATCATGTAACTCCTTGTTATAACTACCACAAAAGTAGATTCAAATGATTGGAAGCATGACAGTCAGATAGCTTAACTGGTTTAGACCAGGTAAAAAAAAAATCAAGTTATGGTTTTTGGAACTTTTATCAAATATTGTTCCTGTAAAGGACAACTTAACTTTAAAACCTTTTTTACTTTTTTTTTATTAAAAGTTCATAATTATTTAAGCTATCTGACTATTATATTACCTACAATTGTGTAAATTGGCTTGGTAACGTTTTCAATCCCAGATTAAAATACAATAAACCTACTATAGATCACAGTTATTTTAAGCATACAAACGTAAATGAATATGGGTTTGTTCAAGATTTATTATTCAAAACCATGACCAAACATAAAAGAGTACAGTTAGTGCAACAGCCTGGTTTTTATATATTTAACAGCGGGTGTCATTAGCTTTCCTTTACGAAATGAATACTAAGGATGAAATCAGAATTTCTGCTAAAACACTATTATAGCTATTCAAAAGTCTAAAAAATATTCTATACTAACACAATTTGTTTAATCAAAATTAAAAATATTTATTACGAATGTTAACGATATAAAACTGAAATCAAAACTGCATGAATTTCACACAGAAAATCCGGATTTAAACTATTTATTAGTATTGTTCCTCGTCAATGTTTTTTTGTACAAATAAATTTCTATTTCAACATTCGTTCATTTATACTGTACATTTTCAAGAAAAATAAATTTAGTAGATAATATATTTTTTTGAATGTCACATGTGGCTATGAGGACGCGCGGTTTTAATACTGTCGCGAATCAAGATTATTAATCGTATTTTCCTGATAATACCTAGCGCATCTATCGAACGCAATGATTAATTATATCGTCAATATTATACATAAAAGGCGAACGCCAAGGGAAAGCGTTGTCGTTGTCACATTCTATGGAGAACTGGAATCGCGATCAAGAAGACGAGACAAAATAATTGTTTCATGGAATTTCAACGATTAACCGCCGTAAAAGACAAATGGTCGCATTAAGCAGCAGGCGACTACGACACCTGCAGGTAGTCGACGGAAGAAATGCAAGAAAAACAGAAGTACCAGCGATGTCGTCGGAGGTTAATATTTTCACGGTACGCTCGAAGCGTAATCGCAAACGACATGGAAAACGCATGGGCGGCGGTAGAGAACAGAGAAACGGCGAGAAGGAAAAAAAAAAAAACTACAATAATCGACATTACGCATGCGCAGTGTCGCACGTAAAGCCATGTTAGATGGAATAACGTGCATCAGTGCTCGCTACGCCCGCCGTCGACGTTGCGTGGAACCTATTTTCGGCCATTACACACGGACACCGCGCGCGCGCGCCCGTTACCGCGACCGCAGCGGCACACATAACCTCGCGGATGTCTCGGGCCGCACGGGCGTCCGTCGGCCGCTAACGCCACGCCGACGTCGACGGCTCGTCTGAACGCATACGGACGGTACGTCGAGGAATGACAGGAGAAACTAAAAAGGTTACAGGACACGCACGGCGAAATTAAAAAACCAGGCTGCCGTTACGTTTTCCTTCGAGTAAAACACCACCACGTATAAACCACTGTTCATAAATTAACAATAAAATACAAATTATCGGATATACTCGACCAAGTTATTTTCATACAAAAAAAAAATTAGAAAATTATATATATTACGGGAGTTTTGTAAAAATAATAGTGTCTTACATTGTATTCATCGTCCAATGCGCTCAATAACCTATGTTTTATGTCGAAAAAAGTCTTCTGCATGAGGCCCTATTCGGTCTCAGTTCGGAGAGCACGTCGGCCCACATCAGCACGCACAGCACAACTTACAGTGATGGCGGACGTGCACTGAGGGCCGCCGCTGGCTCCCGAGCCGCAGTAACGGCGATTGGCGGCGTTGGGCACACGAAAGCGACCAGGCTACGCGAACGGCACGGGCCGATCGCAGGCGACGTCCGACGATCACAGCCGATCGGCTACTGCGACGTTGCCGCACTCATCAGACGTAACGTTGCGCTACGGTCTCCCCGCCGTTCGTCTACTAGCGACCCCGGACCCGCCTTGCTACCGATCGCTCAACGTCGACGCTGCGAAACGGCCGTGGCCTTCGAAAATGAATGGAAGGCAACCTCTGCCGTCTGTGGACGTTTTTTCAATTAACGATTTTATCTGTAGGTTGGCAACGGCCGTTGAATTTTGATAACAAAAGCCGTCTGGTGTCTAAACTGTCGCCTCGCCGAGTCGCACTACGGTCTTGGGTCTACACTCTACGGTTGTTTTGACGATAAATTGCGAAAACACCTGATAATAATGATATTGATATTATATATACATATACAAGTCATGTAATCGTGCCTTCTATGTATTTTGTAGCCAAGTGTCAGCCGTGGAAAGTGGAAACCGTTTAATGTGGCCGAGTTCTATTGCAATGGCGTTTAAATGATATTATGTTTCATTACATTTTAATCGGCGGCTCCACGCGTTAATCCCCTTTTACTTACAGTTTAGTATGTTTTTCATGCCTACTTACTCAGAAAGTCAAATAAGATAACGGGGCAGATCGTTGGCGAATTTCATATCGACACAGTTCGTGTGTCCGTACCATCGATAGTTCGTCTTTCGATTACAACAACCTTAAAAGTTATAGTACAGTATGAGGTCGTAACAACTAAAGTTTGCTAACGATCACGATATTCGGTTTAGTGTAGGCTTAAAGGCGTCCGGTCATTATGGTAATGATTTTTGATAATTTCCATATCTATGTCGTTAATGACAGATCCAAAAACGACGATTTCGTCGTCCTAGCGCCCAAAAACTTAACTATATTAAGATATACGTATGAGCATGAACAAAAAATAATACAAATATTATATACTAATGTTATGCTTCTAGGTGTCATACCCACGGTAACGGACAACCTTTATTTTTTAACAATTGGTTTTAAAAACTTGAGGTACCATTTCGGATAGAAATATTAAAATAATTATATCAACAAAGCTGACCAAAAAAATTCTTTTAATCGTCAAAAGTGATAAAACATCAAAGTATTGTGTGAAATAGTTGTACTGTTTACACAACTCCTAAGAGCACTAAAATCTAAAAGAATATGGGAACAGCGGTTTCGAGTTAGTCAACCGCCTTTTAGATTTTTATTGAAATTTTAACTATTAAGAATTTTGAATTTAGACATATGATTAGTGATTTTATTGGAAACTACAGATCGCAAAAACTGAATAATTGTTAGAGGCGAAACGCTATCAACTAACTAGGTCACAGATATTTGTTTTATCGCGGTTACACAAACAAAAATATCTAATATTAAATAATACGAGACGTTATTCAAGAAAATAAAATACTGGATATTTAGTAAACGTTATCATCGTAAAACGATTTCGTGTTTCTTAACTTACAATTCTATTTTGTTAATATGCATTCATGACATGATGCAATTATTGTTGGTGTTAAATAGCTACTGTTTGGATAATTATCATTAAAAACACAATTAGGATTTTAAAATTATTTTAGGTACCTACCTGTGTTGTAGAAAATTTTAGTCAAGTATAATAATCGATTTGTGTCAAATATCACGGTCCTTAAAGATAATGATGTTATCATTATTCATAATATACATATACAAATTTTATAAAGCTATACAAAATGGATAGGATGCATTTTTATAATTTTAAGTATATAAAAAAATAAACTATTGTTTCTTGTAATTTTACAGCGCAAAACGCTAGAGAAATTCTTCCATTCAACGCTGTTCTTTTAAATCGTTGGTTTAAAATTATTTTTACGTGAAACTAAAGGAATTTTAATTTCTTTTTTTTAGTTTACTAGCTGAAAAAATATTAATCGAGTTTTCTAATAAAAAATACAACGTATAAATGTTTAGTATATACATATTTTAGTGCTGAAAATAGTTTACGATTTTAAATAATTCTTATTTCAATACCATGCAAGCCTCTAACTAGTAAAACGTATTATTAGAGGAGTATTGAATATGTACAAACATTGCTTTAGAAAATTAATTGTGAAGAAAATGTATTTTACATTTATAATTTACTTATTTCATTTTTCAACAATTTGTATTAATTTAAAGTCGATTGTTTATTATCACTAATTGGTAACACTGCCTATGTCCTTTTACTAATATTATAATTTATAATAAAATAGATGGAACTTCCGGTAGTGCGGTCACGACTATAATGGCTAATGGCTATCATAATTGTATACATATTATTAAATTATTTAAATATACGTATACATTATTACCTAACTGAGAATTCGAATGCGTGTACGTCATGAAGTGTGGCAATCATAGACGAGTAGCGCCCTCACGGCGGTCCACGGACACTATATACAATATTATACTACAACTATAGTAGGTATTACGTTATAGTAGTAAAGTTGGTATAAGATGTATGAACACATGATAGTATTTGATAACAACATACATGATAAAAATAAAATGATTAGGATGTTATTATTTCATAACAGTACAATGCTATGAAAAAAAATTCATTTTATTTTGGCTTAGGTGCTTTTAATTTAAGATTGTGCCATTGGCATTGTATATAACTATTAGAAATATGTTCAGTATTTAAAGAAATTACAATGGCCGGACGTATAGCTTCTGCCTCAATAAAAGCGGTCATCGGAGCTAAACGGCAGACAAAAGCTGCACTCACCTTGGTTTGTATTGGAATTATATTTTAACAAACTCTTTAAGTATATATTAGTTAACCATCAACTATTTAATAGTATTTTGTTTTTCCCATTAAAACTGACTAAGAAATAAATAACTATTTCACAACTTTTCCTACATAAAAAGCTTATTCTTAGTTTTTTGAATTTTTCTTAATTCATCAATGCCGAATTTGCTTAAATTAATAATATTATAGATAATCTTATAAGGTATTAATTATTTAATTGTATCTAATAATGTGCAACAGAGTTGGCATAAAAAGACGAGCAGATTCTTTTAGTTTAGGCCCAGTAAATATTTGGTATTAGCCCTAAACCTATGGGTGTTATTAGGTTTATGCATACCTAAAAAAACAAATTTTTCTAACTCTGATGCGAGTGGTATGAGCTGTTGAATTTGGTACTAAAGGTATTTGGTTCGATTCCGGTTACATTGCAAAAAAAATGTTGCCTACCTCTACTCTATTCAAGTTAAGTTTACCCACGTTTGATATCAGTACTCATAGTCGATGACATTAATGTGAGGGGATTCATGAATACAAACAGTTTTTACCAGTCAAGTGAATAAACTTGACTTAGATAGAGTATAGCTCTGCTTATTTGGAAGGTGAAATATGTATCAACATTTTTTATTAAAATTAATAAAATTTAAGATGAACATAATAGTTAGGAACCAATATATGATGTAAATGGTATGGGTTAATATTGAAATGTTTTTTTGACTATTGTAGACTCCTTCGGCCATTGGACAACTGAAAAAAATTCTTTCAGGGAAAACGGAATATGTAAGGATTTTTTCATTTATGTGTCGCAATCAATAAAATAATTAGATGTATTGAAATTTGTTTTCTAGATTGGTCTTAAAATTGGTGTGAAACAACGTGGTTGCAATGGCCTTAGTTATACTCTTGACTACGCAAGTGAAAAACATAAATTAGATGAAGAAGTTGTTCAAGATGGTACTTTATTATAACTAGTAATATAATATGATAGTTACCATACCCAACATTAAAATATACTTAGAAAAATACTAGTGTTAATTCTAAAGAGTCATATACAGTGTATATCTGATAATCATAATAGTAATAACTTCATATACAAACTTTCTATGCATGATTGTCAAAACGGTGTCTCCTGCTGTATTTTTTTTTATAATTTTTATCGCAGTAACTTGAAGTAATTAAGTACAAAATAGCTTTTAAAGGTTTTGTAACAAGTCATCACCAATGATGGATAATTTATATATTTTGTTTTATTCGTTCATAAAGTCCAAAACCAATACATTGGGCAGCAATTTTTTTACTTCAAAGTTAAATAAATAAAACTGTTTGAAATATTCTTTTGTTCTAGGAATCAGAGTGTTCATAGATAGAAAAGCTCAGTTAACACTGCTCGGTACAGAAATGGATTATGTCGAATCAAAATTATCATCAGAGTTTATCTTTTACAATCCCAACATCAAAGGAATATGTGGTTGTGGTGAAAGTTTTAACATCTGAATACTGAATACTCAGTAAGTCAACTCATATAACCAGGTTTTTTCTTAATTCAAAATTTTAGTTATAATTTATTATTAATAAAAAATGTTTATATAAATATGAATAAAAAATATTATGTTTAAATATAAAGTAATTATATGATAGGTATTAGTTATTCAATAGTGATAACAATGTGGATCTTATAATTAATAAAATATGAGCCATTAAATATTAAATTGTAACATAATATGTAGGTTTAACATTTAAGTATATATATATATCTATAAAAAAATTTAATTTATGAAAACGCATCAAAATTGTTTTTATAATAATTTTGGTTGTTGTTTAAGCTCTGTAACATTAAGTATTTTTGACTGAGCTTTGTTCTTCCGTGAAGATTTTTTTTTTTTGTTTGAAGATCCCGAAGATAACTTATGGATCACTTCTAAAAAACAATACAAGTTGAGATTTTTTTCACTTACAGCATTAGCTATTTTCATAAGTTTTATCCACCTAGCAGTCGCACCAGCGGTGTTACCACCGGCTTCATTGAAAAATAAAGCACTGCTTTTAAATGTGTGAAGTCATACTGGTGTGAATTCTCTATTCTCTAATTGATAGATTATAAACACAATAGGCAAAAAAAAAGTTCTCTCATGTTAGGAAGCGGTGTAAATACCGTGGCGCGACCATTAATAAGGTTTTCAAAAGCACGACTGCTTGGAAGTTAAACGAAAAAGAAATAAACATTCTGTTTTCTACACAGTATTACTTATTTTCTTAAGAGGACATTATACACCCAATTTTTCATCATTAAAACATACCTAAGCAAAATACATTTTACTCGCTCCGTGATGTTTTTAGGTAAAATTAGGTTTTTTGATAAACCTATTTTAACAAAAAAAAAAAATTTTAAATCACATTTTTTATACTTTTTTAAAGCAACTTACTTTTATTCACGTTATTATTTTCAAAATATGATATGACTTTGTTTTGAAATGTTGTTATTTTCGATTTTAAAATAGGTGTTTTTGCTCTAAAACCACTATGGATCGAGTAAAACGCATTCTATGTAGCTATGTTTAGATTAATTTTTTTTCTAAATCGCTGTTAAGGATGCTGTGATTGCCCGAAAAATAAATCAACTAATGAAAAGGAGTCCTAATTACTTAACTAATAATTACACATCGCAGTTTAAACATTAAATTAGAATTTTGCAAAAAAATGCCTATACCGAACTCCTTAATGAATAGGTGGTATGACTTCTTCTTAACTATATCTACCTAAATTGTTACTACTGTTACAAAAATATCATACAAATTACATAAAATTAAAGATTGTTTAGTTGGTTGAAATATCATGCTTAATGGAATTTCTATTACCTGGCGTGTAATTGTTCTGTGGGTTGATTAACTGATATCTTTCCATGTATTGTAATGTTGCAAAAGAAAAGTTATTGGCAGACTTCAAATTTGGTTGTGTTGCAGGTACTAAATGCTGATTTATATCAACTAAAAAAAAATAAAATAATAATGATTACTTAACATTTGACAATAGTAAAAGATAGTAATACACAATATTTTTGTATTAATGGGTATTTATACACGGGGTATTTAATTCATAGGCGTTAGGGTAGGTATAATTTTTGAGCCCTATTTTTATTTTGATATTTAAATAGTTTGCGTTAAATATAGTGAAATAGCCTTATTTTTTTTAAACAAAATAAAATGTACAATTTCAGGCTACTGAATTGCTTATACTAGGCTGTAGTGTCACCTATGCCAGGCCACAGCATTGACTATACATGACGTATACAATTCTTCATAGATCACAATAAATATTTCTTAATTAATAAGACAAAAATCACATCAAAATTCAGATCAGCTAAAGCTTTGCTTGATAAATATATATATAGTAACCAAATTTAGATACTAGGTATTGTGGATGTCCTATAGAACCTTTCAAATTTTGAAAAACTTTTAAAATTGTATACATTATCAAGATTTTCCATATCTATTGATCAACAATTAATGTTGATTTTTCTTCTTTAGAAAGAGTAAAATATGTGATTAGAGTTTAAATAGTTTAATGATCAATAGGTAATGTTGTAAGTTTTTACACAATTTGTATGAAATGCAATATATTCTTATTCTTTTGAATAAGAATGAATAAAAAAAATTTATTTTTAATGAGTTTTTATTTTAATTAATTTTGTAGGTTCGAGGATGAATACACATAGAACCAATTATGTTTGACCACAGAATAAATAGAAAAGCGTTAGTCAGTGCTTAATAAGTAATAAATATACATAATATGTGAAACAAGTAAACTCTTATGAGAAGAACATTGATTTAAGTTGTATATATTATCACTTTTATTAATAAAAAAATTGTTGTTTGTTGAATATTATTTGAGTTAATGTCAAAAAGTAAGATATTGTTTATACATACATTTCACAGCTTGTTCGGGTGATAAGTATTGCATTGCTAATGCTTGCATTTGTAAACTGGAGTCAATTTCACCATTTTTGGGCAACATAAAATGTTTGTACGATTCAAAATTCCTAAAGTGATAAAGAAAATAATTGAATCTATTTAAATGTTTGTTGACAATGAAATGAAGCCATTAAAGGTTAACAAACTTTTACATTGGTTTAGTTATTATAGGAGGTTGGACATGTTCTACTGGTTTGACGGCATCTGACTTCGGTTCATTTTTATCTTTCAGCAGGTCGTTCACTTGTCCCTAAAAACATTGAACCATGCAAACAATGTTTGCCATGTATATGTTAAAACTTTTTTCAAAAGGGTAAATAATGTTATTTCTACTAACAAGAATGTTATTGTACATTGTCCATCCAACTTCAATCTTTTTCTCGTTTTCATCTTCATTTTCACTAAAAAATTAATGTAAATACAGGGATTATTTCTCTTAAAATAATAAAATTTTGTAGTTTTTATTTTTGGAGATACGTTAATTTAGGTTAATTCACAATATTCAAATTTTTACCTTTCTGTTCTTTGTTTGTTCCAGAGCTCTATAAACTTTTAAAACTTAAATGGTATATATATTTAATTTACGAATATATTTAAATTAAGAATAGTTTTCTTAAAATGTTGACTGGGTAATAACCAGTTTGGAATAACTAATATTAATAGAGTTTAAAATTTAAGATGGAAGGGACGGGCGAGTAGTATTATTTTGATCTAGGCGCATTATTTTCTAAAATTAACGAAATATACACGTTACCATTTAAGTTTTAGAAGTTAATAAAAGCTAGAAATATTTAATAATTTAATAATATTGTAAAATAACATAAACAAAAATATCTAAAAAAAAACAAACTAAATAACTACAATTAGTTTTTTTGAGAAATAAGTCTTACATTAAATTGATTATCCTGTATAAAATTATAGTTTTATTGAACAACAATAAATAAAAAAATACATTACCTATTGCTACAATCATCATCAGACGATGACGATTTCATTTCAATATGAATTGATTGTTCTGGTGATATTGGTGCTTCAACTACTTGAACATCATTTTCATTTAACTCGAATGATTCATCACTTATTAATAAAACAAAATAAATATAAGCTAAAATCTCAAAAATAATAAAAAAAGAAACTAAATAACATGTCTGTAGTGTTAAAATTATTATTATACATAATTTATTATAAATATTATTTAATACCTATGAATAGAATATGCCTTTTCTATTTTTTCTTTTTTCGAGTCTTTTTTAAGATGCGGGTCATCACTTTTAAGGTCTTTAGGGTTTTTAGTATTTTCATCTTGTTTACTAGCTTTATTACTAGATTTACTAGTATATTGTTTTGAACCATTTTCTGTTATGTTAGGTTTCAGATTATTATCATTTGTTTTAAAAACATGTGGTTTCTCTTGAACTTGAATTTCATTATATTTATTTGAAGAGGTTTCACTTTGATTTAAATTTTTGTTAGGCATAAAGTTATCTTTATAAATACTAATATCTTTTTTACAATTTTCTCGTTCAGAGCAGCAACATTTATGTGAAGTTTGTTGATTAGCCAAAACAGTTACTAACAATTTTTGTATAGTTTCCAATAAGAATTTCATCTGATCATTTTGCATCTGCATCATAGAGTATATATCTTTTACCGTTGGAGTGTTTTGACAAGAACATTTGTGGCATTCACTTTCAGATTTATAGGAAGACCTTTGGTTATCTGAGAAACGATTGTAAGTGTAATGATCATAATCGTAAGATGACGTAGAAGAATAAGGCTTTTCACGGGGCTCATAATAATGATTTTCTCTACGCACCGGTGAACGATTCTGACGACATTTCCATTCATTATACGTTTCTTGGGTTTTTCGACTGGTGATTGTCGATGGACTTTTATGCGAGCCTTTTGAGTTATTATCGGAATCAAAAACCAATGATAATTCTGGAACCTCAGGTTTCGCTATTATTTCCTGAAAAATTATTTAGAATATTCAAATAATGCGATTTGTCTTATACACAATATCATAATGTTCGTTATAACTTAAATGAAAATTACTTGAAACTGTGTTGGTTTGGGAACAGGACGTGGTTCAAGTTCATCATAACGACCGTTTAAATACATCGAATCTTATTTTCAGTATATACTTTAATATTATTAAACAATTAGAACAATAAATTGTACCACCTGGTTTTTTTTTTGAGTAATTTTGGTTATTAATTTTAATATATTTTTATAATAACACTTTAATACGTATGATAGGGCACAAATTATGATTTATGTTTTATGATCAAAAGTCTTTTATTTATTATTTGTTCCGACTTCAGTCTAATTATCAATCAAGTGATAAACGTTAATAACATATTATTTCCCGCTAAAAGTTGAAAGAATAATTTTTGTGGTTATCAATATTTTCCACCGCTTTTACAATATCTTAGTTATATATAAATAATTCAAACATCTTTGGAAAATATTTATCTCTTAAACGATAACAAATCATATTGATAATCTAGTATCACTATTTCGTAAAAATAATGGTCAACTGCTATTTAGCGGTTGACTAAGTTGCTGTTCTGCAGCTATTTGCTCGTTTTTTTAATTAAATGTAATTACCTGAAATTGTTATAATGGTTCAAAAATGTAATTATGTTTTAAACTATTTTAATGCGTGTTAACAGTGTGATATGGTTCGGTTTAAATTTTTGTTTCTTAATCTAAAGTAAGTAAGTATTTGTTTTACAACATTTTTTGAAATTATATTTTGTCTTAACATTGTGTGTTTTATAATGGCGAAATGTATTGAAACGGCTTACAGTATTCTTCACGACTCTAAAAATGATAATTGATAATTCCACATTCACTATTTTCAATGTCGTGCATATCGCATGTAAGGTCAAACAATGTCTACTTCCTTGTTATGTAAAAATACTAGTAACGTGTTTCATTTGACCATTAAACTTATCGACATACGAGTTGACGATTTTTTTTCCAAATTAGCTGACAGTGCGTTGTGCTAAAATTAAAAAAAATTAATTAATGTACCTATTTAATTTTGTTTCACTTCCAGGATGAAAAATCTTTAGTGTTACCAACTACAGTAATAATTGTTAATCCTATTAAAATGGACGTGGATCGAAAAGGGTAAGTCCAATTTAAAAAACAAAATTATTTCTTATCCATAGTCTTAGATTCAATCAAACAATATGCACCATAAAAACGTGTTATAATATTTAATTATGGACTCAGCCGTGTATATTTTTGAAACTTACATCCCTCCAACTTGGCCTGTGGTTCGTACCGAGTAAAAACGATTTATATTTAAAATTCAGTTCAACCGCCGTGCCGTTAGCTTATTTCTTATTATAATGACTAAATTATACAGCAGTACTAATACTTATATCTAATAACTTTTCGTGTCTATACGTTTAGACTAATTGCGAGTTTTCAGTAGAACTCGATGCTTACCTTGTCCAAGGGTCATTAACACTAAGCATTTACAAATATAAGAATTGACAGTTATCGATTAAAAATGTTTTCTATTTGTCCGACCGTTAACATACGTTTTAAATATATCGTATTTTTGCTGATAATGTAGGACGGAAATATTTTGTGATCATAATTTTTGCACACTTGAGAGTTGACAAATTGAGTTTTTTAATTTTATGAAATTCGAAAACGCTTATACGTAATATGCGGGGATTTCTATAATATTGACAAAATCCGCGTGGGTATAATTTATTTTGGTTGCTGAATTAGATGGATTTTAAAGTTGTTCCAAGCCGTCCCCAATTTGCCACCATACAAAAAATATTTTGAACAATTAATAGTTGTGTAAAAATGTTTAATGTAAAATTAAAAACTGTGTTTTTTAACGGAGCTTCATTATTTGTTTTTAATGTTAGTGTAAATAGTTCATTATCAAATTATTAAGTTATTTGCTGTGGATTTCCCCGCTAAATTATTAACATAGATATGTTTTTGGGCTGGATACACAAAACAATTTGTGTCATCAAGTTCAGACACATTTTTACGCCATCGTCAAAAATAGGTTTTTATATACTGCTATTGGTTACCAACACGTTCGTTGTTCCTTGCTACGTCAACGGTATATTTTTGTACCTTGTTAAATCCAAAAAAATATACATGCTTTAATGTTATACCGTAAGAAATTCAATTTTTTCTATACATGCAAAGCGCTTATTGAATTGTAAAAAGTTATCAGAGAAAATCGATATAAGCACAAGCAGTTGTAAGTCGCAAGTTCAAAACTAAGATATGGAGGGTGATATTATATGGAATGGAGTCTTGGACAATACCTTAAGTAACGTATACACGTATTTATTGGTAGCCTAGTGACTGAAATAATTTTTATATAGCTTCTTTATCATTTCGACCAGAAAAAAAAATTAACAGTAAATAAGTCTTGCCCGTCCTAGACCAAAAGAGGAACCTTAAAAAAATCGCGATGGTCTGAGTAGAAAAATAAATACTTCGTAAAAAAGGACGTATCGGTCCTCCGATAATTTTTACTGACCCAATTCGGTTCAATTTAGCATAGGGCAAGATGATCGCGGTCTTTGCTTAGTACGTACCAAAAATATTTGTTTCCGTCACACGAAGTTATGCTATACTCATAACAAACTAATTGGTTCTGGGTAAAGTTTTGTAACATTAGAGCGAAGTAGAATAAAACCCTAATTGGGATCTTTTGAGTCCTCTATGTCCCACTTGATGTTTGAACACCCTTTTAAAATTTCTCTCTATTTTTTTAGTGACACCTACATTGACATTTATCTTCTTCGATACATAGCTGAGAAAGTATTGTATTTAACACGATATGTTTTTTTGTGTTGATAGCTTCTCAATCACTAAACCGATATCTTAATGTAGTAACTCTATAGATTACAAATCGTACCTGAAAGATTTTATTGAACCTCTTCAAATTGAGAAAAACATCCAATAATTTACGTATTTTAAACTTAAAATATCTTTAAAAAAAAAAAATTTCAAATTAGTTAAAAAATTGTATGGAATATTATTTAAATGGCCACCTGCACCTGGAACCATCTTTTTTGGTAGCGTTAGGTCGGTAGCCAGGGTCTATAAGCTCAAAAATGCCAAATCTAAAGCATCTATCTAAACACGATCGGTGGGAAAAAGGAACGTTAAAAACGTAGATATACATTTTTCAATTCTTGTTTGATGTATCGATCGAAGTTCATTTTTTATTTTCGTTCTTAATGTTATTGTAAATGTTTTGAAGAATCCAAATGTTTTTTAAAAACTGAAATGGGATTATTTGTAGTAACTTTCTGTTCAAAATAGAAACATAACTTTATAAAAAATAAAGCCTGTACGCGTTGTAGAAGTGGAAAAAATTAGTTATCAAAATAGATTCCTCTTTCCTGTTAAAACATATCCCAACAAAAACACTTCGTTAACTCAAGTGTAAATGGTTGCCAAGTAAAAAAAAAAAGTATTTCAACATAAGCCTTAAAATACGTGATATAATATAGGAAAAGTAAATACCATAATGTAATACGTGAAAACCTTTAAATTCAGTTAACTTAGCCGGAAGTCGAAGTTTGTTTTCCTGCTATAGTTTTCCAACTATATTCCTATTATAACAAGTGCTATATTTACTAGGTCGGAAGTAGGAAAAAAAACCTCGACTTCCTGCCAAGTAAACTTTATTGTTATATTTATTATTTGTTCCGACTACAGACTAATTATCAATCAAGTGATAAACGTTAATAACATATAATTTCCCGCTAAAAGTTGAAAAAATAATTTTTGTGGTTATCAATATGTAAACAAAATTTTCATGACTGTTTTTTTAAATGTAGACAGATTTGTAATTTGTATTTGTTGACAACGATGTATAATACATACATTGCGTTATAGTATTTACTTAGTTTTTATACTATATCACATATTTTAAAGCTTATGTTGAAACACTTATTTTTATTTTAACTTAGCGACCATTCACACTGAATTAACGAAGTGTTATTGTTGGGACATCAGTAGTTTTTTTTGTACATAGAAGTAGAAATGACACAGAGTATTCACTTATTATTACAGAATATAGAATTGCGAAAATGAAAACATTTTATTTTTTTAATTTAGTTTTATAATATTATCTTTATGAGTGACAACTTGTGCATTTAGCGTGCTAATGTTTTTAATTACATTTTTGAGTACTTCAGAGATATATGAGTATATGTGAATATAAAATGTTCTACTGGTAGTAAAATAATCATTGCAAATGCATAAGAAGACTACAACAATACCAGATAAATAACAAAAAATACCCAACACATAAAAATCACTGGCAAGGCGTCGAATCTAACAAAGACACAACGCATTGTCGTTTGTCTATATACCTCAGTCAGTAACGACGTCTTGTTGTAATGGTGGGCGTTCCCCCGACCCGATCCGATCTGATTCCTCTCCGTCAGCAACAACACCTGGCGCCGCGCGGTTATCATATATATAAAATATTTGATAAAACAAGTATCTCGAGACCTCAAAAATGTTGTACTCTTTTACTTGTAACTAAGAAAGTATTCAACTAATCTATATGTTTATTTGCTCGTTCCCTTCTATACAACTTTCCCAATCTACTGATATCTCATATCGATACCTCGAAGCTCACCAAGTGCTATGTCCAAGGTGGATTCACCTTGGCTATGTCCATAGTCCACTTAATATCATTTTTGAGGTATAGAATTTAACTCTTGAGCTCTTAAAAAAAAATCCACCAAGGACATAGAATTTTACGGGTATTTGTAGTTAAACAATTATTTATGCTCTTTGGACATATCACTGGTGTTCATTAGATTCAGTTTTTTTGACCGTTGTAATTTTCTAGGTTGTGTGTGAGTGAAAAAGTATACTCAATTATAATATACTCAATATACTAAAAGTTTAGGGAATTTAAGTGCAACTAATCTGTACTATCTAGTGTTCTCCTAACAAAAATGGTGGCTATAGTATTGAGGTATAGCTCACAAAAATGGGTAACCTAAATTATAACTAAAAAAAATACAAATTACTCAGTTTTAAAAAATTGGGGGAACTTTGTCCATAGGACTAAACAGACACTATCTAATAAATTTTTCAATTATAAACCCAAAACTGCTACAAATTAATTTCCTTAACACGTAAAATTTCTAAGGAAAAAATTGTTTGGTTGATAAATCTAAAAATAATATTTCTGTCAAATTGAATTGTGATATAAGAGAAACCCGAATTAATAAATGCCTCATAAAAATCATTGGAAAATTCTTTTATTCTGAAAATACTAATAAAAACAAAATAATATT